TAATTTAGATATACATTTAAAAGTAATTAAATTTAGATAATCAATATATAGAAGAGATAGTATTTTTATTAAAATATCTCATCCTTATAAAAGATCAAAAGTTTAGAAACTCAAATTACAAGTAGCAATAAAAATATATTTTAAAAGTAGAATTAGATTGACATTGTCAATGTATTTTAAAACTAATTTTTCCGACGTCTAATAATTAAGGATTACTTTCTTAGCTTTTTATTTAACCTATTTCTAAAGTTTATTCTTTTTCATTTTTAAGAATAATAATAATAATGATGATGATGACGATGATGATGATGATGATCATAATAATAATAATAATAATAGTAATAATAATAATAATATAATAATAATAATAATAATAATTTTTGAAGAGATCTTATTTTAATAAGTCCTGATTTGATCTGATCTGATTTGATCTGATCTGATCTGATTGAATCTAATTGGATCTGATCTGATCTGATTCGATCTGATCTGATCTGATTCGATCTGATCTGATCTGATCTGGTCTGATCTGATTTTAATAAGAATAAGAAAAAATAAGAAAAAATAAGTTGAACGGAACGGGGCCTTAGTTTATATTTCACAAACTAAAAAATGAAGGACAATGAGAAAGTATTTCAAATCTTTGTAAATACTTTTATGTTTATATACAAAAGTTAAAACTCAAATAATTGTATAATTTACACATAATAGAACTTGAACCAATTTTTTTTTTAAAAAAATTACCTGGAGTATTACTTAGTGAAGGAATATAAAAATATTACTCCGGGGTATTATTTTTTATAATATTTTAGTATATATGTTCGGTTCGGGATTTTCGGTATGGGACGTCCCCTCGTACCGTTCCCAAATACCGTACCAACCATTCGGTTCGGTATGGTTCGGTTTCTTCTCGGTATTTTTCGGTTCGGTATTTTTCGGTTTGGTATTCTCGATTTTTTCGAAAAATTTTGGTATCGGTTCGGTAATTGCTGACCAAGTCCACTATCCCCCGTACTAAAATAAACACTAGTGGCTCATTGGGAGCTGAAGAAGATGAATAGTAAGCTGCCGTTAATGGCCGCCGCGGCTCTGTTGATTATTGGGTTATTTGCAACGAAAACGGCGAAGGCGGCGACAACTCAAATAGCTTTGCCCGGCTGCCCAGAGAAGTGCGGAGATGTCGAGATCCCCTACCCGTTCGGCGTCGGCGACGAGAAATGTTTCTTGGACGCCGGATTCAAGCTCACCTGCGACGGATATTCGAAGCTCTGGACAACCCAGTTCCGGAACGAAGAAACCCCGACCACTCAATCTCAGATTTCCCGAATCGACCCTGTGAAGGGGACGATGGAGATCTTGATGCCAGTGTCCCGCCTCTGTTTCCACCCAATATGCAGAACGGTGGCCGATAAGCAGCCTCTGCTCGGAGTGGAGCCGCCGACTTTCAGCGTCTCCGGCGAAGAAAACAAGTTCTTCGCCGTCGGCTGCAACACGTACGCCATTCTGTACGGCAGCGAATTCAGCAACGGCTCTCTCAGTCCCATGGACAGAGACGGGTACTGGACCGGGTGCACTACCATATGCGGCGACGAAATCGCCGATCACATCACCGAATGCTCCGGGATCGGGTGCTGCAATATCACTGTTCCGGCGGGGATGAGGAGAATCCAAACACGCGCCCTGAGTTTCGGGGAACAGACGGGGGGCTACAACAACAGCTGTAGCTACGGTTTTGTGGCAAAAAATGGGTGGTTCAGAGCAGGGGCTAACGATAAGAATCTGCGTTTTAACTCGTCGGTCGGTTTTGGTCATAGATTGGGCGGTGGGGAAGGAGAATCAGACGTGTGGCAGCGATCGTCGCAATATTTGCCACCGCCGCCGCAAGAAAACGGTGTGCGTCGACACCAAGACCAGATCCGGGTACCGATGTAGATGCAGGGATGGTTATGAAGGGAATCCATACCTCCCTAGTGGTTGCCGACTTTCATTGATGTGGTTAAATGAGATTTTATTTTCCTAAGTTCTCGCATGGTTTGATTTAATTTGATTCCATAAAAAAAAATAAGTAATACCAATAGATAGCAAAAATACATTGAAAAGAATAAGGGGCTGTTTGTTTCAGCCTCTTAATGGTTCAGATGTCTGAATGGTTCAGCACTTAATGGTTCAGACTGTTTGTTTCAGCCTCTTAATGGTTCAGATGTCTGAATGGTTAAGAGATTTGCCTCTGAATGGTTAAGTATTATACAGAGTCTGAATGGTTAAAACCTCTTATATGAATTGATCAGACATTTGCCTCTGAATAGTTAAGCAATACACTATCTCTTAATGGTTCAGACCTCTTACTGGTTCAGCACTTACCTATTCAGAAGTTGCCAAACAGTCCCTAAGTTCTTAATCCTCTACGTTTGCCTCGACCACGACACTTGCATCAGTAGTATAAAGTCAATGCAGATATATCTCTTTCTTAATTTTCATAAAAATCAAAACAATGACTTTCTGGGACGGGAGAAATAATTATTAAGATTATATTCATTCTTATCTTTTAGAGAATTTTTTGCACGAAAAACTTCAAAAAAGATATTAATTAATAAAGATAAAAGAAATAAGTAAAATTTGTACTAAATAGTACTAAAACATATGTCATTTCCCAATGCTGTACTTAAACTTTTTTATTTCTTAAATAGTACTTGAATAATTTCTAGTGACGGGAACAATGCACATTGATGTCGGACATTTATTTTGAACAATGTCTACTGGCGGTGGATATTTACTTGAATAATGACCGCTGAACATTGAACACTAATATTACATTCCAACATTTAGGGGCTGTTTGTTTGAGCCTCTTAATGGTTCAGATGTCTGAATGGTTCAGCACTTAATGATTCAGACTGTTTGTTTCAGCCTCTTAATGGTTCAGATGTCTGAATGGTTAAGAGATTTGCCTCTGAATGGTTAAGTATTATACAGAGTCTGAATGGTTAAGACCTCTTATCTGAATTGATCAGACATTTGCCTCTGAATAGTTAAGCAATATACTAGCTCTTAATGGTTCAGACCTCTTACTGGTTCAGCACTTAATGATTCAGACTGTTTGTTTCAGCCTCTTAATGGTTCAGATGTCTGAATGGTTAAGAGATTTGCCTCTGAATGGTTAAGTATTATACAGAGTCTGAATGGTTAAGACCTCTTATCTGAATTGATCAGACATTTGCCTCTGAATAGTTAAGCAATATACTAGCTCTTAATGGTTCAGACCTCTTACTGGTTCAGCACTTAATGGTTCAGACCTCTTACTGGTTCAGCACTTACCGATTCAGAAATTTCCAAACAGCCCCTTAGTTTGAACAATGACTACTAACGGTGGATATTTACTTGAACAATGACTACTGAACATTGAACACTAGTATTTTATTAAGAAATAAAAATATTTAGTACTACATTGAGAAAAATTACTATATTTTACTACTATTTAGATAAATTCCCCAAGAAAAAAACCTCGTGATCGATAGATGTTTCAACTAACTATGCCAACTTGTCTATACACATGAAATGTGCAACCCCTATTATGATAAGTGATGGTGTAAAACTAACGTGTACTCTAAGTCAGAAGGTGAGAAAACATGTAACCTGGTTAGTTATTAATAATGTTGGGACTGTTTACAAATTTACAAGCCGTGCAGATTATTTATTGCATGCCTTCTTAATGAGGCTTTTACTCCTATTTATAAGAATAGAAAAACACTTCCTATTGCTACCATTCATCTTAAGGCATTTTCCCACCCAGTCTTTGGCCGGCCAATCTCCTAGCCTTCTGCAGATGAAGCCGCGGTCTCACCATTCTGACCCCTAACATTCACCCGGTTAGACTACCAGAGTCCAAAGGTCGGGTTGGGGCATACTTCGGTACCTCCCGGGTGATTGTGAACTTGCCGGGTGGTTCCAATGGATTATACCCATCAATAAGAATAAAACAAAGAATTAGAACATGTATAGTTTTCTTAAAACTATTTTTTCTAAGATATTATCAAATTATTTGATCAATATAATTGTGTAACAATTGTTTACTTGCTAGTACATCACAATATATTGACCCTTCATCTAATACCTTTTTTAGGGAAGGGAGCTGATGTGTGATTATATTATCAATTGATGTTTCATTGTCAAGTTTCCACATTGTTAACCGTGGAGACTCATTCATTTTTAGTGGTGATTGCTCTACTGTAAAGAACATGAATTTGATTTTGGTGGTGATTGCTGTAGTGTAAAAAACATGAATTTGATTCTTGTTGTATTGAATTATAATATTATATCGTTGACATGTAGTAACGGTTTTGATTTTAAATACTCATTTTTTTAAAAAAATAAAAGACACTTTAGTTTATGATGGTTAACTTGAATTTAATTTCAATTAAAATTATTTTAAAATTGGTGTGCAATTAAAAATAAATAAAAGTTGTACATCTAAAAGTTAAGTCTTAAGGTATAACATGACTATATTATTTAGTAAAAGATGAAAACTGACTTGTCTCTATATATATACTCTTTTCGTCCCAATAAGAACTTTACATTTTAATTTTTTTGATTAAACTATGTAACACTTTGAACACAAATTAAAGATAATTTTAAATAATTGAAGATTATAAATTTGATATATCAAAATAGTGATTTAAAGTTAATGTAACTACAAATTTTATATTTTAACTAAATACGGAGTATATTTTTTCAACCTTTATAATTAAAGGGTAACACAACTTTTTGACAGGGGAAAGGCAAAAAATCATTTTTTGACGCTCTTTTCCACTGGTCCAGTCCTTCCTTCCTATCCATTTTCCGCCCCATAAGCGAATATTCCGTCGGAGCTTCCGGTACAAATCAGGTTTGGCTATTAGGACTATTCGGCTCCAAATCCCCCATTTCCGAATCCATAGCCCGATCCAAATAAGTTTGCTTCTGACTTTTAGGTTATTTATTTATCCGTTCATCTCAATAATACTCTAATTTGCCACTCTGAATTTGCTACTGTGAAAAAAGTGAATATTTTTTTGTTCAATGATATATAGATTTCCTATTATCTGCCAGATATGGCTGTTGGATTTTAACTTCTGCACGCGGATTTGAGATGTGCCTCTCTATTGCCAAGCCGGGGTAAGGTCTCTTAGAATATATATAACTCTTCCTGGTCCACGACCACAACCTTGAGCTTTTGGTTGAATTGGTTCCTTGGCATCTTTCCTTTTGGTTGAATTGGTTCCTTGACAAGGTCTGGGTACACGAACCCTCTCCGGACCCTATTTTTCGTGGTATTTTACTGGGTTCGTTGTTGTTATTGGATGCGGTCACACGGATATATTTAATGTATTTGAAGAACTTGAATGATGGAAGCTTTAAGATTTGTACAGAACTATACAGTCTTCACCTTGGGAGAAGATTTTCCCTGTGGTCTATGAAGAAGGACCCAGAGCTGGAATCTGCATTGTCTCGGAACCGTCGCTGGATAGTGAACAATCAGATCAAAAACATAATCCTCAGATATCCGAACCAGGTTGTTCCTGTCAAGTTCCTGCAGAAGAAGTTCAAGACTCTTGATCTCCAAGGAAAGGCTTTGAATTGGCTCAAGAAGTATCCTTGTTGCTTTGAAGTTTTCCTGGAGAACGATGAATACCATTGCCAGCTCACCAAGAGAATGGTGGCTTTGGTCGAAGAGGAAGAGGCTGTGAAGGATATGCAGGAGCCTGTGATTGCCCAGAGGCTAGCTAAGCTGCTGATGATGAGCCGCGACAAGAGGCTGAACGTTACTAAGCTCAATGAATTGAAGAGAAACTTCGGATTCCCCGACGATTATTTACTTAGAATCGTGCCCAAGTACAATCACCTCTTTCGAGCTGTTAACCACACGGGGATGAGAAGTTCAATGGAGATTGAACTCACGTCGTGGAATCATGCATTCGCCACCTCTGCAGTTGAAAGAGTGGCACAAGAGGGGGGCCACGAGCCACGGTTTTCGTTCTCCTTGCCAGAAAATTGGGCAAAATCATGGGAAAGGTTTCAAGAATTCAACTCCACCCCTTATATATCACCTTATTTAGAACTCAAAGGTATTGAGGATAATACAAAATAATAATTTATTAAGCCATTACTCCCTATTATTTATTATCCAGTTGCTGTGACAACCTAACCACTTCCCTAAGCTGTAAGCTTTAGAGTTTTGCCCGGCGTTGTACTGCTTTGTTGTTTATACATTTGTCAGTTTCTGTTCTCCATAAGGTATTAGAGCTTATATTCCTTTAACAAGATCTGTTTTTTCGTCATAGAGACGGTAGATATGGATAAGAGAACGGTTGGGCTAGTGCATGAACTACTATCCTTATCCTTGTGGAAGAAGGCATCCATTGTCAAGTTAGGCCATTTCAGAAGAGAATTCTGTTTGCCCGAGAAGCTGAACGCCTTGCTGCTCAAGCATCCCGGCATTTTCTATGTTTCAAACAGGTACCAGATATATACGGTTCTCCTCAGAGAAGCCTACAATGGGTCTGAGCTCATTGAAAAGGATCCACTTGTTGCTGTGAAGGAGAAATTCGGAGAGCTGATGCAAGAGGGGCTGCATGAATACAACCGGCGGCACCACTTGCTGAATTTAGAGAGGAAGAGGAAGAAGGGAATGGTAGCGGCAATAAGAGCCGAGAAAAGAAGGAAGGGAAATGGAGAGGATTTGGAAGATGGAGAAGATCAAGTAGGCGGCGGAGATCTCGGGGGCATTTTCGACCCAGAAGAAAGAAAACGGTTTTATCGAGTTCTCTTTGATGAGAAGACCCCATAGACAGTAATCTGTTAGCTTGTTTTTGGCACACTTGAGAGAAGATGGGCACAATGGTATTCTATCAATGTAGACTTGGGAATTTGGTTCTTTTGCCTTCATGGATGGAATGCCATTTGCCCAATAATAGCATAGTACATATGATGCCAAGGAATGCCCAATATAATGACTATGTCATGTAGCACTAACCATTGAAATATGTAGCTATGGTTTCATTTACAACATTTCCCCTTTGTCCCAAAAACATTTCTACATAGGAACCAATTTTACATTAAGAATAATGCAGTATAAAATTGTGTGTTTAAGATTTATGTATAGAAAAACAATTTAAGTAAGTCTAAATTACTTTTAAAGACCATTTTCGAATTACAAAAATATTGTGAAAATGACTTAAATAAGGGACAAAAAGAAAAGTCGCTTATGAGACTTTGTCCAACATTAGGGTTGTCTCGTTTTAAAATCATTTCGAGTTTGCTACACGATGAAAAAAAAGTAAATGCTGTTAAAAAACGCAATAAAGAATCAGTACCAATACGGTCAAGTATGACATGATACTAGTTCGTTTTTTTTGCACATCCTTCAAGAGAGAGCCGAACAGACGGAATGGTATTATTTGCCACATTTGCTTTTTCAACGGTCGCGGGAACTTTTGTTTATTTCTACGTTTTCATTAGTTATTTGATAAAATAAAATATTCTTGACACATCTTATTTCGAAGAACTTTTCATATAGTTTTTTGATATATAATTTTTATTTTTTATTTCTTTATCAATATGTAAATAAAATGAATTGAAAAAACTTGATATTTTGTCTCGGTAATAGAAATGTAACAAATAATTTGGGACGGAGGGAGTAACTTAAAAATATTAAGGAGCAATTTATTAATCTCTCTTTTTTGAATAGTTCTCTTTTGTTTTTTTTGTAATAAAACACTTCCACTTTAACAGAAAAATGAATACTCCCTCTGTCCTATAATGTCTTCCTAGAGCACTATTCACACTTCACGGAAATTTATATTTATTTGTGTTTTTTCATGGCCTATATGATAAAATAAAATATTCTTGTCACCACTTGTTTTGTTGAACTTTTGGTGTAGTTTTTAAATATGTATGTTTTATTTTTTATTTGTATACCAATATTTAAATAAAATAGATTGAAAAAACTTGGGATTTTTCTTCGTTTTGCGAACCGGGAAGATCATTATAGGACGGAGGGAGTAATATGTTCAAACAAAGTCGTTGTAATATACTTTATTAATTTTGCATTGATATAATAAGTTGTTTAAATGTGTGTCTCTTTTTGTAACGTTAATAATATAATTAAAAAATCAAATTACGAAAAGAAAAAATCAAAATAGAAATTATTTTACCAAACGGATGGAGTATAAAACTACTAAAATACACAAGTAGATAAGTTGGAATGAGTTGATATACTCCCTCCGTCCGGAAATATTCTTTCCATTTTCCTTTTTGGTCCGTCCGGAAATATTCTTCTCATTTCCTATTTTAGTATACTTTTTAAGGCTAAATATCAATAATACCATTCTATTTTATCTCAAATCTACTTTTTTAGTACTTTTTTAATAATAAAAGAAGATTTAAAAGTTTATAGTATGTGTATTTTTGAAAATTTTACATTTTTTTACTATTTCTTAATAAGCGTGCCAAGTCAACACGGGAAGAACATTTCCGGACGGAGGGGGTATTAAGTTGTTTAAATGTGTCGTCTCTTTTTGCATTGATATAATAAGTTGTTTAAATGTGTCGTCTTTTTTTGTGACGTTAATAATATAAATATATAATTGAAAAATCAAATTACGAAAAGGAAAAGTTAAAATAGAAATTTTTACCAAATGGATGGAGTATAGAAAAACTAAAATACACAAGTAGATAAGTTGGAATGAATGCTTTAAAAGAAAACTAAAACACTATTGAAAAAGCTAAAAAGGCAAATAGAGTAGAAGATTAAAATATACAATTATGCTAGGGGTATACTAAAAGTGAATCTAGAGGTACACCAAAAGTGTATCCTAAAGAAATGCACTGGCATTTTAACTGTTCACACGGTCAGAAAATATTAATTCAATTAAAAAAATTTACATTGACATTTTTACTAATGTAAATCATTGCACTAACATTACACTAGCACAAAATGTCGGTGCATGCTTTTGGGGTACAAAATGGGGTACAAATTTTAATGTACAAATAGCTTAATCCTAAAAATTAACTCTCATTTGTTACCCCAATCAAGTTCTAAAATTACCCAAATAGCCCCGTCGTTCCTTCAGATCCAGTCATCCATCGTCTTCCTCTGGCCACATCTTCATCGTCCTCCGACCGTCTTAGTCGTTTGGACGCGTAATCTCCTCCTCCTTTATCCCATCTTCTTCGCCCTGAACTTCTCTGCTACCCACTGGTATGTCTAAATTCAGCTTCATGTATTTATGTGTTTATTTTTCAAAATTTTGATTTGATTTTCATCTCATTTCGTTAAATGTGAATCGGGGAACTATCGATTTTTTACTGTGTAATATTGTAGATATTAATGAAGAAAACTGTAGAGATTTTTTCTTTGGAAATTCTTTATTGTAGATTTATCATCTTGTGGATCTTTTTTTTATGCTCTCTATCTTTTGATGCCATGTTTTTTTCAACCATTTATCTTCTTGTTTGTGGTTCTATAGCGACTTTGTTTTACGGGGACAGGACATGGCAGCTTGGAGCTTATCAAGAAAAGATTAAAAGCATTGCATTTTGTTCAAACAGACATGCTACTCACAAGGATGAACAGGTTACGCGAACCTGCGCAGGTTCTTGACAGTGGGTTTAGATCAATGAGGTGTCTTCATTCTTGCCCAGAAAAAGCAAGTGAGATTGAGAACATTGTCAAGTTAATAAATGAACATTCATTTCCCAATCAGCCGTTGCAGCCTACTCTTGAAAGCCATATCCCTCCTGCATCCCTGTCTCCATCTTTTGTGGAAAACGTCCTCGGTCGCTTGTTTGGAGCACACGCTAATGGCCTAAAAGCTTATGAGTTCTTCAAGTTCTGTCTCCTCCGGTCCAAAGACAGCCCTTCTGCAGGCGCATTTGAGAAGACTGTCCATATATTAACCAGGATGCGCTACTTCGATAAAGCGTGGGACCTGATGAAAGAAATCCAGCGGACGTATCCGACACTCCTCACTCTCAAGTCTATGAACATCATGTTGTCCAGGATAGCAAAACACCAATCCTATGAAGACACGCTTGAAGCATTTGAGAAGATGGAGAGAGAGATATTTGTTGGGAAAAGATTTGGCACCGAAGAGTTCAACGCGCTCATTCGTGCATTCTGCACTCAAAGACAGATGAAAGAAGCTAAATCAGTCTTCAACAAGCTTCATTCCCGGTTTTCTCCAAACACGAAAACAATGAATATTCTGCTATTAGGGTTCAAGGAAGTAGGGAATGTAACTGCAGTGGAGTTGTTTTACCACGAGATGGTCCGAAGAGGCTTCAAGCCTAACCATGTTACTTACAACATCCGAATTGATGCTTACTGCAAGAAAGGTCGCCTAGATGATGCGCTGAGACTGTTGAGAGAGATGGAGAGTGTTAACTGCGTGCCCACTTTAGAAACAATGACAACCTTGATTTATGGGGCGGGGATTGCTAGAAACATAAGTAAAGCAGGAGAGCTGTTTGATGAAATGACCAAGAGAGATTTAAAACCAGATGTTTGTGCTTATAATGCTCTCCTGAGTTCGCTTCTCAGATCTCGAGATGTCAAAGCTGCTGCAGCTTTAATGGATGAGATGGATGAGAAGGAGATCGGCCACGACCATTTAACTTATCACACCATGTTTTGGGGATTCATAAGATCAGAAGATATGCACGGCGTGCAGGTGCTGTATACCAAGATGACCGAACGAGGGTTCTTGCCAACGACACGGAGCGTGGTTATGTTGATGAAGTTTTTCTGTAAGAATCATAGCATCGATTTGGGCCTGAGTTTGTGGAACTACTTGGTAAAGCAAGGGCAGTGTCCACACGGTCATGCGCTCGAGCTTCTAGTTACGGCATTATGTTCCCATGGAAGAGTTGAAGAGGCATTAGAGTGTTCTAAGCAAATGGTGGAGAGAGGCAGACGGTTGAGTGAGCTGGTGTTCCAGATGTTGAAAAGGATTTTGTTGGAGTTGGGTGAAGAAGAGAAATTGCACCAGTTGGAGCAGATGGCAAAGAAGGTAGAAATGTTTTTGCCACCTCCAAATGTACATCGCAAAGCTTCTGTTCCTTGCTGCTAGGAAATTGACATTATTTCTAGACATTTCTGTATTTGTAAACCAAACTAAATTTAACCAAAAATAGAAGACACTAGACATAGAAAAGTTCATAAATCATTTTTGATAATCTGTGTTTTTGCATATATATATATATATATATACACACACACACACACACACACACACACACACATTCATACATACATAATGTGAATGATCTTCTCACAGAACCTCTTAGGAATAAGCACTACAAGTCACACAGCTAATTGATTGATTGATTAGGGAAACTATATGCAACTCTTGAACTATACAAGGACAGGCTAACAACCACTTATAGACTTGAGACCTTTCAGATTGAAACCAATCAACCCCTCCTGTTGAACTTCAGGAATCCGGGCTGGGCCTGCTCGCGGATATGAACCTGCTGTTGGGCCCCTCCAAGGTTGCCGAAGTGAGCAAAACTTTGAAGGCCTGGTACTCTAGTCGCACCGCTCCCGTTTGCAACCTGAGTCTTAAGCCGCTGCAGTTCTTCCCTCAGTGTGTCACTTAGAGCTGGTATGTTTTTAATGTGCACACAACATCAAAATACCAACACACATAATCAGAAATCATGACTGCTTAGGGCCTCGTTTGGTATGGTTTGTTCTAGAAGAAAGATCGTTTAGCAGCATCCGTTTCAGCTAGCCAAATAAGCAAAACCCGAGCTTGCTACCAAACGACGCCTTAGGAAGGGGAAAAGTAGCATACCGTCTCTAAGATGAGCTGCTTCTTCCAAAGCCTGCAACCGTATTTTGAGCTCCTTGTTCTCAGCAGTGAGTCCGCAAGTATCTCTCTGCACCAGTAAATATAGGCAAGAAATAAAAAGAGAAAAAAAAGACATTACACATTGAAAATCGTTTCCAGTTGATATCAAACTCTGATTTTAAGTTTGAGGAAATGAAGGAAAGACATCGAAATAAGTTTTAAAGCCAAAGATCATTACTGGGGAGATATTGTAAAGCTGTGAAGTCCAGAATACCTGGAGCAGAGTCATCTGTGCCGAGAGAGCTGTTGCTTCAGTCTGTAGTGTCTGCACTTTCCTTTCCAACTCATTCGTGTAACGTGTCTTTCGTTCTTTAGAACGCGCAGCCGATTGTCGGTTTGCTAGAATCCTAAAGAATTTTAGGCACATCATATGTAATATATTCAACCTTTTTTAAGAACAGCATCCCATTAGGATTAACAAGAACAAGTGAAGAGGGAAATCAACAATGGAAATCCCAAAGCATTCGACACAAAACATTATATAGCTGAAATATGAGCATCTAAAACAATTGATGAGAAATTCTATTCAAAGAAAATGAAGAGAAAGCAATCATTGGAAAATGAAATAAAAAGATCAAACCTTTTAGCTCTCTTGGGGTCAATCAAGGCCAGCTCTGCAAGTCTATCAGTATTCATTCCTTTCTTCTCTAAGGCGGAATCCGCCTCAAACACAGAGGTGGAGAAAGACCCATCCATGGAATTGCTGTGTCTATGGCGTGGGCCCGGACCCACCGCCATCTTCTCCGAATCCGACGAGAGTGCGATTGCGGCTCCGCCGCGCACGGCGGCGGATGAAGCGCCGAAGTCCAGACCATCGAAGAAGTCGGAGTCAACAGAAAGGCTCCGGAAATGGGTATCTGGCCCAGCGGAGGAAGAGTCGCCAGAATTGGCCGGCTGCATGGAGGCGGCGGGGTTGAAGTCTGCCACGACGTCGTCGAGGAGGATATCGTCGTCGAACTCCGGCGGGAACCGGAAGAAGGTTTCGGATTGGGCCCGACGGTGGTGGGACCGACGGGTGGGGGTGTCGGGCATCTGGTCGAGGCCTGCACGGCCCACGATGTATGGGGCCGGAGTTAACTTTCCGGCGAATTTCGGGTCCATCATCATTTATCAGCAAAGAGAGCAGAAGAAGGATTAAAGAGAGAATTTTGGGAGAAAATACTTTATGCCAATAATAAACGAGGGAAGGAGTCAAGAGAGTAGGTGGACTTGGCCACACAGGCCTGGTCGATATTAAAAAAAATGTCTGCGTGGCATAACCTCATTGGTTACTCGGTACAAGCTTGCAAATTTTTCTATTTTACAAATCTTATTAAATTTATAGCATGAACGAAGTGAGTTTTTTTCCAAAATCTACTGTGTATAAACATGAAAGACCATAAAAAATAAGAGAAAATTCACATTTAAATATGAACTTTGAGACTATATAAACATCATTAGAGTAGACACGTTGCGTTTTACTTTGTGTACTATTCCTTTCTTCTGAACTACTACTTGTGAGCTCAAGGGATAGCTGCTAACCTTTGTTACCACGAGCTAGTGTTGGAAATTTTAAGTAAATTGGACTATTTTGAAAATAAATTCGGTAGAGTCCACAAAATTATTTTCCGAAATAATTATGGACGTTTAATCTCGTAAGTAAAACAAATGTCTCGACATATGATACGCCATAAACGGTGCTAGAGTGAATGAGAAATTAATTCTCAAAATTGAATACTAAGGTAGAGTAAATACCTTTGTCCCACACCGGTTTCTAAACCTTTCGTATTCTCATATTTAAGCTTTGACATTAAATTGAGCTTATGAAAGGAACAAGAAGAGGACTCCTCGCGCGCCGCCACCGCCGTCCGTCCGGCTCAGCACGTCACGCGCGTGCGCGCCCGTGTCTGCGGCATGGCGGGGCCAAGCGAAGAGCCAACTTCCCTCATATCAAAGGAGGGCTTGGCTGCAAGAGGAAAACTTACTCGAAATCCTTCTCTGCGTTACTAAAAGATTTCCGACTAAGTTCCCGTTTCCGATCATCTTTCTCCGGCGATAACTCCCCGTCATTCTCGTTCGTCGGAGCACGGTCCAACCGCCCTAGGCCTTGCACGAAGCGGTTTTATCATGTGAGGAGATTGCCCACGTTTGCCAGTGCGGGAGGCGGGCAATACTACCTTAAGGAGAGCTCCGGCGACTCCGCTTTCCTAACCTTTGCTTCGAGAAACTGCTCCGGCGACGAACAACCCTCCGTCCGAAGTCACCACCTTGTTGTCCGTTCGAGCATCCGAAGAACTCCATTTTTCTTTCTTTTATTTCATTGTAAAATCCGAACGTTTTATAAGTCCGGATTATTTTTATTTTATTTTCCCGCTGTAATATTTAACAGTTAGTGCACCAAGCACTTTGACATTGGGTCATTTTGTTAGAGCATTCACAATGGCAAGGCAATGTCTTGCCTTGCCATGCCATGTCACCAAATTTCACTGAAATCATGGCATTCCATGGACATTTCACCCCATTTTTCATTCCATGTGCAAGGCATAACTCTCTTATTTTTTTAAAAAAATATTTTTAATATTTGTAATTTTTGAAAAAAATATTTTTTAAAAGAAGGAAACATATTTTAATAATAAAATAAATTTTTATAATTAAAAATCATTAAAAAGTGCAAAAATAGACAAAAACAACGACTTGTCACTGTATGTTACGACACTCCACTCATTTGCCACACGATGACTGAATTACTTTTTATTGGTTGAAATAATCCATGTCACCATGTGACATTTCATTTTTGTCTTGCCATTGTCAATGCTCCTAGAGATAAAGTTAATTAGTTTCTTGGGAACTGTATATATTCTTTTTCAACATTAGTGTGGAGACATCATTTTATAAAATTGTTTCTCACCTTTTATAAATATTTAAAAATAATTTATCTATGATTTAAGTCATTATATTTTATTAACAATTCCTTTTCTTTCCTTTCTTTCGCATCCAACCAAACACGTAGAGGTGAATTTCTTTTCTTTCTCTCTATTCCATTTTTTTTTTTCATTTTTCATTTTTTTTGGATGTTTTTAATTACTCCGTAATATTCTAATTTCTTAATAAAGAAAATTTAAGAATCGTTTGATCACATCAATCTTTCTCACTTGCTCTAAGTTTTTCTTTAGCGCATTTGCTCTAAGTTTAATCATATAAATTCACCACTATGTAAAATGATTTTTTTTACATAGGCTTTTACATGTATAATAGACCAATCTTATTTCTTATTAATCCGTGTAATAATAAAACCTAATTTACCTTAATCCGACTACTTTTCGAGTGGATTTGAGGGAAATCTTAATATAGGGTTAATGTTCAATTTTTTTATTTAAAAAATACTCCCTCTGTCCCAAATTATTTGCCACATTTGTTTTTTCAACAGTCGCGGAAACTTTTGTTTATTTTTACGTTTTTATTGGTTATTTGATTAAATAAAATATTCTTGACACCTCTTATTTCGAAGAACTTTTCATGTAGTTTTTTGATATGTAATTTTTTTTATTTCTATACCAATATGTAAATAAAATGAAGTGAAAAAACTCGATATTTTACCTCGGTGATAGAAATGTGACAAATAATTTGAAACGGAGGGAGTATAAATCAAGTAATGAAGACTTTGGAGTGAGACTTATCCTTAAAAAAATGGTTATGCTTGAGGGACAAAGAAATACGAATGTGAAAAATATTTCTGAAGGGGTAACCTATTTGTGAACATAGTTTGTACTCCCTTCGTCCCTAAATAGATTATAATTTGTTTTCTTTATCCTCTCGATAACTTTTGTTTGTTTACGCAATTTCATTAAGTATTTGATAAAATAAAATATTATTGTCACCTCTTATTTTGTAGAACTTTTGATGTATTTTTTTAATATGTAATTTTTATATCTTACTGATATACCAATTTGTATATAAAATGATTTCAAAAAATAGAAAATTTTACTCCATAACCCGCAATTTATAATCAAATTGGTGACGGAGGGAGTATTAAAATATACATGAATGTGTGGACTAAGTCCACGTGGTACTGTGGGAGGCCCAATAGTATGAGTCAAGGGTGCTTGGCTTTTTCCCTAGGCTGAGCATTTCTTTTGGAGCGGAGGGTCGGGTCGGGTCATTTCTTTCATAAACTCGATCATCCAACCCAATATATATTTGTCAATAGGAAAATAAGATAGTAAGAAAATTAAAAAAAAAAGGTTAAAGAAAATTAAAAAAAAAATTTCTTGTGATTAATTTGGAAATTGGCAAATAGATTTAAGGTTACATTTCAATAACTTCTTTATTTAGCGAGTGATATCATGTGTTTATAAGCTGACATGATCAAAACAACTTATAAGTTGTTTTTAATTTATAACTGAGCTGGTGATATATTTCTGTGTGTTTATCAGATGGCTTATAAACTATTTATAAGTATAAAAAAAAGTATGTCTTAATTACGGAACTCCCTCTATTCTCTTTTTTTTTCATTTTTTTTGGACGTTTTTAATTAATATTCCAATTGATCACATCAATCTTAAATTTTTTTTAGCGCGTTTGCTCTAAGTTTAATCATATAAATTCACCACTATGTAAAATGATTTTGTTTCTTAAATTTAGGGAATTGGATGATTAAATATGGAGGAGATGTGCTATTTGTAGCCCAAATTAAAACAAATTAAAGCAAAGGTTTATAGCACTTCAGCTTAAATAAAGCTAGCTTAGGGACGTAACTAGACACGTTTCTTCACGTCTTTGAATAGCTTTTCATTTCTACAATTATTGTTTTACACGTACCAATCCTTTCACTCTTTTTGTTTTCGATTCAGAATCCAAAAGAAATATTTGAGGGGTGACACTACTAAATTAAAGGGAGAGGTTCGATTGAAATTGAGACTGTTACGGTGTTGGCTCACTCGGAAAATTGACGGTTCCTATATATCCTCTAACTCACGAGTGATTTCCCTACCTGGGTCCGACCAAACTGATCCCTCCCACCCCCTTTCAATTGAAAACACGGGCCTCAAAATGATGTAGTCTTAACTATAAACTGTAAAAAGCTAATATCATTTTTTTTTTGCAGTGCCTCCAAAATTTTTGGACGGGCTCTGTCCATCATCATGTCAGAAGCACTCAAAACCCTTAAGTCGTGATCAAGATTAACTCCAAAGCTTAATTATAATACAAGATTACAATGTGCCCTAGATCCTTTAATGGCGAAGGTTTTAACTTATAGACAACTTTTTCATTGGTTGAGGTCAAGAGGTATTCGAGATCGAGGTTGAAGTTTGTTCTGATTGTCTTCGGGTTGTAGAGTCCATTCAACAAAAAGAGGCTTTTTTTTTCTAATCAATCGTACTTTGATTGATTTTGCTTCCATTTCTATTGCTTTTTGTTCCCCGTACGCTCTGATAATGTTGTTGCTCACACTCTTGCTAGGCGGGTTGAGTCTGTTGTTGGTTTTTGGAATGTTATTCCTCCTGACTTTGTTACGTTGTTAGTTTGTTTGTTTATTTTTACATGTATGTTTGTTAGAAAAGAATATTTGATCCTTAATTCCTGTTAGCACACATCAATCATGCATGTTTTTTAGCTCAAGATAAAATACTCTCATCTTTAAAAGCAATAACATGCCAAACGGCATTCTAGATATTAAGATATTCATATACGTTTCTTCTTCTCCTTTCAATAATACTACCTCTATCATTCTGTCCCAAAATGTTTTTTTCAAGATGATATGACAGACTTATTATCAAAACAATTCAAAAAGAAAACAATTAAGAAAGAAAAAACAATAACATTATTTTTGGAAAGTATAGAAAAAGAAATTAAAGTGTAGTTGTTTGCTTTTAAGTCACTTTTTTTAGTGCTAAATCATGGTCTGCCAACATAATTAATCATATCATACACATGTACGTATATCTTAGATGAGAAAGAAAATGTATAAATAGTTCCCCGCTATATATAAATCCACACCCATAAAATATATACGACCAAGAATCAGTTTTATTAATCACCATTTTGCGACATGATTTAGGCTGTTAAGCTATACTATTATGAGATATGGCTTCAAACCATGCACTATTCCTGGAAGAGCCCAAAACTGCCAATAATAATAATGATGGCAATGGTGATTTAGAGCAGCACCAAGAGAAGAAGAGTGAGATGGGCGGCGGCGCGGCGGGCGGGTTCGATTATGCGAAGCGGGCCCCGTGGCTTCGGGCGGCGGTTCTCGGAGCTAACGACGGTTTGGTTTCCACGGCCTCGTTGATGATGGGTGTCGGAGCGGTTAAGCAGGACATCAAGGCCATGATCCTGACGGGGTTTGCCGGCATGGTGGCCGGAGCATGTTCGATGGCCATCGGAGAGTTTGTCTCCGTCTACTCTCAGCGAGACATGGAGGTTGCTCAAATGAAGAGGAGCAAGACAAGAAGGCCGCCACCGCCGCCGGAGGAGGAGAACGGTGGTGGCAACAACGACGTGGTGCTGGCAAATCCCATGCAAGCGGCAGCGGCATCGGTGGTCGCCTTTGTAATGGGAGCAATGGTGCCGCTGCTGGCGGCGTCGTTCATAAAGGGGTACAAGGTGAGGGTTGGGGCGGTGGTCGGGGCTGTCACTGCCGCTCTGGTGGCTTTTGGGTGGCTGGGTGCGGCACTTGGTGGCGCTCCCAGGGTTAGAGCTTCGGCGAGGGTTTTGCTTGGAGGATGGCTGGCCATGGCTATAACATCCGGATTAACAAAGCTGATTGGTTTAAAAGGCGAATAATACCAGAAAAATTCACACAACAAATCTCAGAAAATCATGCAAAAAACCCACCAAGTTTGCCCTACAAATGACAATCGCACATGATTTTATACTTACAAGGTCTGTACCAGACGATTATTGTCTGTATAAATCATCTCTGATTGTTTCTTCATGAGTTCGACCAACAAGTCCAATGACGACACTAACATTGACACTATAAGCGACAATCATGCACAAAAGGTCATTGTCAGTAAGATATTATTGTATGTGAAACTCTAATAGTGTTAACCTTGCTGTCATCCGTGGTATGAGACTAGCATCACCCTTCAAAACCGTAAGATGAAGATCAAACGGCTCACCGAGCAAGTCTGCAACAAGCTAGAGTGATTCATGATATCCATGTAATTATATTACTACCTGATGATATTGTACAAAATGTTAATCCAAATCCCATTTTTCTTGTTCTAATGTGCCCAGTCCAGCATTGAAGAAGAAGAAGAATCATAATCACTTACAACTTGAGTATAGAGTGATAAGCAACAGTAAAACAGTCACAAGTGGTCGATTTACATTACAATGTACACCAATCAAACCTTGCCTAATTCAAAGGTTGTGAAGTTCTTCAATACATGGTATATATTCTAGCAGTTTGCTTCTAAGTTAAGAAGACGAGGGAAAATAAAACGATAAACAACACTAACAGAAAACATATCATCATAATCTGCCCCTTCGCGCCCGCTTTCTTCATTACCATCGCAACCTTTTTCTGCACCCAAAGAGCAGTTTCAAACAAGGCAACAATATTAGCTAATAGCTAGCCCTCGACTAAAAGTGAACTGAAGAACTACATCTAGACCAAAAGAGAAAATATAGGACTAACATATAGGGGTTGGTATCCAAGATGGACACGTATCCTCTATAAGTCGGCGGCTCAGTGGCCACCAGAGCAGTTCAGACTCCCCGACTTAGTAAGACACTGCTCATCGGTGAACCACATTGCTGGTTGGCATTGGTTAGTTAGCAACTCACTCTTTAGCCATTACAAGTTACCAACATCTGGTAAATAGTTAAGTCATTATCCAGACTAAAGTGTGGTTGTGCTTCATCAACATGACAATACCCAAAGTATTTGTCTTACGTGACAAATTACAATAATCAGATATAATTAGCGATATTTCTCATTTATGTGTCTGTGTTGCTTTCATATTGTTTAGAAAAACCTTTTTTCAAAATTTTGCTATTTTTTATCATTTTAAATTTTTTAAAAACATATTATTATATTACTTTTGATATTTTTGTATTTTAATTAGTGTGTTTGTATGTTTGTATTTCTCAGTCATAAAACAAGATACACAGAATGAAAAATATTGGGTGAAACAGAAAAAAATAAATCATAAGTTTTTTTAAAAAGAAATTGATATCAAAATGTGAAGCCTAAATATTGGAAAAGTTTGTGCGTCTTATGGCTAATTATTGAAATGTCTCAAATTTAAATGCAAGATATAGGGTGTTATAGATGTTTGGAAAAGGTTACGAGTCTTCATAATTTATTCATTTATGGTTAGTTCTAAGTTCAAAATCAGTATCTGAGAAGAAAATAAAGCAAAGAGTGAAGAGGAAGGAACAACATTAAATTCAGAAGATGAGGTAAAAGGAGACGAACCTAAGAATGAGAAGGCGATAAATTTAGAAAATGATGAGGAAAAGTCTCTCTCCGAATGAAGAAGATAATGAAAACCACGAATACGGTGAAGGTTGAGGGGCAAAGAATAAAATTGATGAAGAATCTCCTTGAGCATTGTCTTATGTTTCTCAAACTGCTGTGAGTGAAAAATGATGTTTGATACAAGCGGAAAAGAATGTTTTTAAAGACAATGTACGGTGCATGATAAGACACGCTCCCTCCACCGTAAATATGCATTTCGCTTTGACTTTCAGGGAGTTTAATACTGTACAAGTATTGAAAAGTGAGTGGCTAGAATTTGTTTTAAAAAAAGAGATAATGTGAGCCTCTTATTCTTTTCCAAAAATGTAAAAAGAAAAAGTGAGAAGACGGACGAAAAAAGAAAAGTAGGAAGATCTTTGTGGAATGGAAGGAGTATAAAGTATAAATCAACAAAGGAACCACCGCCAACCACCACCACTGTGACACTGTCATTGACCACAGTGCGGGCTACACTGACAACCTATAAAATCAGACATAATTACCTGAACGAAATCAAGACGCGTCGAAGTGCTGTCCAATTCTGAACCCAAATCATCAATAATCTTTTCCTACAAAATCACGAAACTTACACTTCAGCTACACATTTAGTTGGTAAGCTCAAAGGAAATTCTGAAAAGATGAAAAAAATTTAATTAAATGCAACAGCTAATAAACCGGACCGGTCACAGCTTTCTGCTAGGAATATAGTGTGTATAACTAACCTGTCCAAGAAGTTCCTCGTGAATAGTAAGTCCAACACCTCCGATTCTTTCTATGCTAGCACTAAGCTCGTCAAGCTCTTCATCTTGTTGCCTGCAAAGAACCACATAGCATGATGAAATGCAGACTCTTGCAAAATAATAATAATCAAAGTAACAACCCGATGAAATAAAAAGGAGATTACTTTATGAGAAGTAATTGTTTATCGGATTCCGATGATATGTAATCATCATTATCATTAACAGTATACTGCTCAGCTCTGCCAGTCTGAGTGGAGTCTGGCATCCTCATTAGTTCTCTTCGCTTCCCAGCAAAATTAGATGAGTTTGTTCGATTTGATTCCTTTCCGGCACTTACTAATGCTTTCTTCACATTGGCCACCTAATTACCAAAAAACAGCTATTAATGTTATCCATAAGTTATGGGACTAGAAATAATGGATGTTTCATTAAAGGGTTTGACTAAATCCACAGCCTAAATGACTAAATCCACCACCACCATCCAAATTTTCTAAATCCACTCCCTAGATGATACACATCAAATTTATAATGTGTATGAGTGAGAGTCAATTTAGCAAATTTGAGTGGAGGAAGTGGATTTAGCCATTTAGGGTGTGGATTTAGTCCTACCCTTAGTTAAATCATGTGCATCTATTTAGGCATGGACACGATGCATGGATTTGGTATTTTTACAAAATCCATACCAAACTATTAATATTAAAAATTTTAGGTTGTACAACTAAAATCTCTCGGTACCATACCATATCTATTAATGTCAATCCATACCTTAATGTTTTTGAAATACAGAGTGTATGGAGTTATTTAATTCTTAAAGATAAAAGTAACAGTCAATAGAATTATAGAAGTTAAAAAATGTCAATAATTTAAATGCACCCCCACTTAATTAGTGTATCACGTAATTGTAATTTTAATAGGCTGTAATTGTAAATTAGTTCTTTAAAAGCATTATAGATTGAGTTGAAAAAAAGTAACCTATGAGACTAATATTAAATAAGTTAAGGCTGCCCCCAAAGAATTGAAGTTAGATAATTTTGAAAAATTAAATAAATTACTTAACTATTTCAATAGTGAGGGTTTAGTATGAGATTTTGGTTCTTGTTTTCTAAAACTTTATCCCTTATCATTTTGAAAATAGAACTATTCATTTTGGGTTATAATGTGCTTGAATCGTTTGATTTCCCACTTTATAATGAGTACCATGCCAGTCCGGTTCGGAATAAAGAACAATGTCAGGATGGTATGCTTGCCCATCCCACTATATCATATTTTATCATCACTTTCTTTTCAAGTTTCGGCCATCTAAATGAGAATAAATCAATACTTTCTTCGTCCCTCTTTTATCTTTCTACTTTTTTTAATTTTTGGGTGGTTCCTAAAAACTCTTAATTTTCTCTTTGAAGTAAAGTTGTGTGGTACATATTCTTCTTAAACTCCAATCGTATTATTCTTAAACTAATGCAAGTCAAGCCTTGAACACTAGATAGGGATGGAGGGAGTACATTTAAGCATCACACCCCTCCCTCACTTCCCTCTTACATTCCTAAACCAAACAAGAGGTGAGGAATCAAATGGTACAAATACAACAAGAACAAATCAACAAATGGCTGCAACAAAGAAAAGGTGAAATGTTTTTGTGGACGGCAACATACTACGATGGTGATTTATAACCATCGCTTTGATTGATCTTAAGAGATACCTTGTCATGAGCATCACTGGTCCACTTTCGTCGTTGTTCAAGTTCGGCCTCATCAATTCTATACCAGGAAGGATCACTTGCTGCAGCATCAATAGCTCTCTCCAGTTCATCTACCTTTCTATCAAAAAACAAAGTAGTCAGTGAAGCTTCAAATGAAATGCTACTCAAATTCAATACAAGCTAAAAAATTGTAGTTAATGAAGTTTCCAGAGAAACGTCACTTAAGTTTAATGCATGCTGGAGCATAAAAACAGCAACCCTAAGTCATTATGTAATGAGTGATCACACTACAAAATTCAGGTAACACTAAACCTTGTGCTAACATGGTATGGGCATGATGAATGAGATACGTAGTTGAAGAATAACTATGTGAGTAAATAATACCTGCCATTTAATGCTCTCACATGTTGCATAAAGCTCATTTGCAAGACGAAGGTGATTTCCATTGCTTGGTAGAGTGCGCTCCCATTCACGGAATGTAATGAACAAATTTTCAATCTAACCAGACACACACTTTAAGAATGAGAAATAATCAAATTAAAGAAGGATTTTGCTTTTCTATCAGAGATGAATTATATGAACTCAGTTTTCTGGTGAAACAGAGCTCGGATAAAACAAGCTACTCTTCACTCTCAAATGATGACAGAACATACTTGAAGCCCAATAGCATACTCACATCTTACCAGAAGCAAGATGACAACACACTATACCCATACACATATGGGTTGATAAATCCACCCACCTCGATTACCCTTCTTTATGCATAATGGTGTAGCAAGAACTGTTTTTTTGCATGCGTATGAATAAAGAAAAGTATTACTACTAAATAAATTCCAGAAAATGAATATGACCACCATATAATATGAATTTAACAAAATTTGTATATGTATAATAGGAACTTAACATTATATGCCATGGAAAACTACTAAATTGGAGGTTTAAAACTTAAAAAAAAACCATGAGCTTTATAAACTATTCCATATGTATTACCCTTGAACACCATATCATGGAAATGGAAATGAATACAGCACTGGGTATGTTGGAAAACCGTACCAAGTAAACATGATAAAGCACAAAACAAACAATGCCTTAAAACAAACTCACAGATTCCTGAATCTCGTCCTTCACAATGTAAAATGGATCTTGAGCTGAAGACATCTTGCACAAGCCTGGTAGTGTATACCTACAAACATAAGATTGTGTGATTTTGTATGCCACAACATGTCCGGTTAAAAGACATCTTCAGAGACATTAGACAATTGCAAAAAGAAAAATGGACACTTATGACGCAATCCGAACTCGCCAGAAACCAAGTATAAAGAACAAGTATTCCAATCTGCAGAGCTTCCCCTTGGCTTGGATGGTAGGAAGACCACCCCAGTATTCTAGATGGGAAGTAGTACTAGAGAAAAAAAACTCAATTTGCAACTTACTGCGAACTTCAAATCTTATGATCCGGTTATTAAACACCGACAAGACAAAACTTGTGAGAAATTGAGCTGGGTCAGATGCACGGCAGACGGAATAAGGGAGTCAGATTTGTGGTTTTGAAGAACTCGGCGCCGGAGATGAATCCGACGGTGATGCAGTACCTGGAGTTGATCGGGGTTTTTGGGGAGGCCGATAGATGGATTCAACCAGAGAGCCGCTTGACACTGGGCCGGCCAGCAGGTTGATCGGTTTTCGTCCGATCTGTCCGAATTTAGGGCTGGTATACTTGACACTGGGCCGGCCAGCAGGTTCACCTTTACTATTTTACTATGACATTCGTTCCCAATGTCCACCCGCTCCGGTGCCCCATCCCGACCCGAACACACTCCCCACCCCCTTCAATTGCACCCCACAAATTGATTTTGACTTTGGATTCAAATTTATGATGAAGGTCACTTTAAAAAAATTATTTAACAACTAGATGAGATTTTTAGAGATGAGTTTAATTGCGAGTACATTAGCTAGCAATGATATAACTAGTCTGGTTGCGTGGTTTGAAACAAAGAATCTCTTTTTCCTCTGTCATTTTCTAATGGTTATCAGAAGCTTAATAATGCATTTAAGAGCTTAAGAGATTGAACATCACATACATAAAACTAAAGCCACATAAAGACATTGACAATATCAAATTATTTTTAGACGATGATACATACAAATTTTCTCAAGTTAATGTATATGAAGCAAAGGCAACCGACCAATCTTGAAATGTGTATCAAAATGCATGTGGTCAAGAAACTTATTTAATGAAATTTAATGCATTTAAGGATTCTAAAATATTCTAAATAATTTTAAAGTGGTTCATACCTTATATACATTTTTTGTCCCATGTTGTCCCTCATTTCCAAAGGACAAATCACAAGAGGTTATAGAGAGTTTAAGAAGATAAAACTACTTTAGGATTGAACAGAACACCGAAAAATTTTAAAATATCCTAATGACATTTTATAATGTCATCCTTACGAGCCAAAATAAAGCAACTCACAAACTATACAAAGGTTGCTTAAAATAATTTTTTAAAATGGGTGTGACTCTTCACATTCTACTCACAAAAACGCACCCCCGAGATACATAACATATGAATAGGGGCGTGCTAGCAAAGCTACTCCCTTTTACCTTAAGTCCATCACGAGTCACGGACTGAAAAAAAGGATGAGCCCCAGCTTTAAGGACTCCCTCAGAACCGACCGAACGGTCATTTGAAAAGATCTAAAAGATGAAACATGCACCCTGTAATTATATAGGCCTTACATTTAGTATAATTAGCTTCCAATGTAATTATCATGATTGGAACTCGAGATTTACCCCCTTTAGACCACTTGTCTTGACAGTTGAGTCACACCCCTTACACGACTCACATAATGAAAAGGCCTATAATATGAATGTTGGGTCTCATGTGTGGGTTGAAACATATTAGACGAGTCCCAACGAGTGAAACAAAAAAAAAGACGGAGCGAGATGATCATAAGTATCACATACACTTATCCCCTCTATAACAAAGCAAGATATTTTCGGTTGCCCACTTGCCCGTAAGAAAGAGATAGAGGGACATTGCATCTCCCACAAGGCAAGATGAACGGGACAAAAATACATCATATCACAGGGCTTTGTCGTTCGTACCATAGCATATGTCTCATAATATAATAGATTCATGCTCATATCAAAAGTTCTTTTATTTTAAGTTTATAATACAATTTTTTTTATCCAATCCCTGAGATCTTTAAATACCAGCACAGATGATAAATTGAAAGAAGTTTAATTAAACCAAAAGTTCAAAGGTTACTAAGGCTAGGTGCGAGCAAGTCTTCAAGATTAATGAACATTATCCTTTTTTTTCAATGTTATCAAAATTTGAACTGAGATAAATTTGTGTGACACTATTTTCTCCACAGCACCAGGCTAGGCAGGTGACATAATTTAATAATACTCCGTAATACAATTAGGTATATCCAGTTCTAGATTTCTAATGCCTCGCACCAACCGTACACTATTCGTTGGTCAAGGGGCATCTTTGGAAAAGTTCTCTGACATTCTTCCAACACATTTTATTTTATTTCCATATTTTATTCCGAAAAAGTTCTTCCAGCGAAATTTCAATTCCAGAAAAAGGAGCTGAGTTTGTTACGGAGTACCCGGTATTATACTCCATGTACAGACCAAATTACCCCTCGATTTTATCCGGAATTCCTAAACCAGTCCCCTTCCTCTTAACCACCTGACATGAATCTTCCGACGATTTAGCAAAGCAGTCAACTATCCATTGAAAAGTTAATTTTCTCTTTTTTTTAAATGCATTTATAAAAGGAATCTCTTGTAGCATTTCCATACATGACATGACGGGAAATTACATGTTTGCTTAGAGAGCTACCGCGAGCAGGAATGGATTTGGAGGAAGGAGTGGGCGAGAGCTCGTCGCCGCCGAGGACTCTGGACAGCGTCGCCGGCGGCGGCGGCGAAGGCGGAGGAGCGCACGACGTTCGGCACCACGTGTACAATAAGCTGCTGGAGAGGGGCAATGAGGAGGTGGTTGGAAATCCGGAGCTGCTCCGCGAGATGCTGGAGACTCATTTCAACAGCCTGCCTTCTAGGTTTCGACTCATCTCTCTCCTTATAGTACTGATGATAGTATTTTTGTTCCCCTCTGGCATTTTGAGTTGACGTCGATGTATCGCGAATCTATGAACATACTACTACGAATTGGAGGGGCTTCGAGTGCTGCGCGGGCTTATTATGCGTGCAGGCGTTTGGAATTTTGCTTGAATCCATTTCTTATTAGGTTCCTTGGTTTTGTGAAAATTCTCTGAACTCGGTTGGAGTAGGTCACCTATGTCTCAAATGCATTTAGGAATTTGAAGCGATGGCGTGCACTGCGAAATTTAACCTCGTCTCTGTACGCCATTGGATTAGAATTTGGCGTGATTGTGTAATTGGATGCCCAAACACTACACTGTTTCATATTTTCATGTATTGTTGAGTTAGCAATTTCTGGATTGAAGTTTTATGATGATAGAATGCCTCCTCGCTTATTAAGATGCAATTTGTGTTTCAGTTATGGACTGGATATAAATATGGATAAAGTGGAAGATGTGCTCTTGCATCGTGATCTCCTTGCAAAGGCAAAGGACCCTGATAAGAGGCCTGTTTACCATGTTAGGTTACTAGAGGTACTCCAGTATTCAATGCATTTTGTAATATTTTCAATTTGTTCCTCATCAATTTACTCATACGGCGAATCTGCTTTGACTTGCTGATTGTCTAATTTATGTTCTTTATTTTATTTTGTTGAAATGTGAATTTTCTATTTCACTGCGCTTAAAATAGAAAAAGTGGTTTAATTAGACCAGTCGCTCAAATTGTTTGAAACAATACCGAAATGCAGCATTGGATAAGAATTTGTCAGGAATTGTGTATTTCTTGAATTCCCCCCCTTTCTTCTTATGGAGCATCATTTGTTATTCTTCTAGCTGAATAGTGGGGCTACTCGAGTTGATGATACTGCTGACCAACAAATTTCAAATATCGCGTCCACGTCAAACCTGCTTTGCGACATTGATAACGAAGGGATTGTTGCTCCTCCCCGAAGCAGGTGTTTCCTATGGCATTTAATTTTCCAAGTGGCTAGTGTTTCTGATATATAAAAACCAGTTATACTTAATGAGTGTGGTTGATGTGATGTGATAAGTGTTTTGCTTTGGTCTGCAAATGGCTCTTCATTTGCATATTTTTTACTACTGCCTTCAACTGGTAGCTGGAATTGTGCAAAAGGCTTTGGAATTCTCTAATCTCATGGACCTAAATTTAGATATTAGGAACAATTTTGATTACGAGTACATGGAAAATGGAAATAGGACACAAGATTTAAGCAAAAAAACAGTTCTTCACCAAACTAATTTGGAAATATTACGAGTTGTTTTTAATGCTAAATGTGCTCAAGATTTATAGATATTATAGGTTGAATTGAACTCCAGTCTTTGTGTGAATGGAACCGAGAGTTGTTCCATCAACTTCTAGTGTGTAACGAAAAATCAGATCTACATATGTAATAGCTAGTCAATTCACTGTGTAGCATTTGTTTCAGTGGATGTATTAGTTTTCAAGGGTTCAAAAACACCCTAGCCCATCTCAGTGCATTTCATTTAACATCTCAAGAATTAGCTAGCCAAATCCCTCTGCAATATTTGTTTAAGGGGAGATACTTGTTTTCAGAGGTTCAAGATCACATTGACCCATATTTTATGCATTTATTCATCACTTTCAGAATAAGCTTCTATCATTAAGTAAACTTACTTTATAGCTTTTGTAATCTGCAACACCTTGTTTTCAAGATCTCAAAAACATAGCAGCCAGTTTCTGTAAAACAGACTTTTTTTACTTGGAAAGACAAAGTGACTATGTCATTCTTATGACTTTCATGATGTCTTTGATTGTTCCTATAAAATTATTTTAAACACGCTCGTTCTGCTTCTTTCTATGTCGTAATAAGCAGGATCAATTCCACATATATTCACCATTTAGAGTTTTTAACATGTAGTTTTTTGTTTTAGCAAATCTGCACAAAAAACAGACTGCTATAAATTATCCGTGTAAAAGAACTTGACATTTGAATATGGTTGCAGGCCACAAATTTCATTTATCCCAAGCTACGAAATAATTTTTTCAACCTTAGACAAGCCGAAACTTCTTAGTCAGGTAACTGAGAATGCATATTACAATCTTGTATTCCTGTAAAATGCAAATAAATACTGTATAAATTTCCAATTATGATAAATTTGTATTCAATATTCTGAGTTTTGTTTTACTTATCTAGAATTGTTATAACAACAAAGATGAATACCTTATGTGTTAATCCAGAGATAAGATCACATGACACTTCAGAACATATCTTTGGTAATTGCATATACTCATTTAAAGCTCTGGTGCATTACAATTTTGGCAATGTACATAATTTTGTTTGCTTTGTGTTATAAAAAAATATTATTATGTATTTAGTAGTCTTCCAAATATGAAATAATATTATATACTTCCTCAATTCTGCAAAAAAAAAAGATCCACTCTTTTTAGGAAAGTAATATTATATACTTCCCCCAGTTCTTTTTTAGGAAAAGAACATGTGGCTCACAACATTTTTTCTCTTCTAAACATATTCCAACCACACGCATTTTCACTTTTCAACATCTTTCATAAACTCGGTGAAAGTCAAACAGCGAAGCTTTTATGGGACGAAGAGAGTATTTAGGCTAAATATTACTCCATAAAAGCTCGCACTTATTGGTTTGCCTCAGTGGGTTCCCAAGTTTCTCTTGTGAGCTACACAATAAGGGCATTGCTTTGCTCTTGGGTTTGGTTAATTGGGCGTACTGGTCCGTGATTACATAGGTATTGAAAAACCATCTTTGTTACACTACTTCCATTTCATAATATTTTTTTAATTGCATTGGCAAGGTGTATAATGCCCTACAACATTGCTCAAAGTATGTTGTACTCTAATGACTAATCGCAAGGTGTGTTACACTTCAATTTGTGATATGACACACTGGCCTGGTTTAATCACTGCCCAGTCCCTTACTGTTTCTAAACTTACACTTGATGTCATTGTATAAAACTATTGTAAGTTTTTTTTGTATGAATGTAAATAATGCCTTATTTTCTTGCAAAGTTACCCTTTAATATTCAATTTTCTTTATTTTTTCCACCCACCACACACATAAGCTTCTTCCCCAACATGATTACCTTTTTTTTCTTCTAGCTTTCTGCCTTGCTCTCTGACATAGGACTTAACATCCGCGAGGCTCATGTGTTCTCCACCACTGATGGCTACTCTTTATCTGTATTTGTGGTGGATGGATGGCATGTTGAGGTATGATGCATTATTTTGGTTTGGTTTTCAGAATTAAAGGTTTGAAAAGTATATATTGTCATTATATGCTTAGGCACCAACATGTATACATGGCTATGAACTAGTTTAACTTTGTATATCTGAAACTCTTGCATGAAGTAATACGAAGTAAGTAATATTTAATGGTTCCATTTATAATTTGATTTCATGTAAATAATGATCTCATCTGTAAAGTACTTTTGTTGAATTGTTTACGCATATACTCCAATGAATCCATTTATCACTGGACTTACCAAAACCATATTGTTTGTGCCATTAGGATGACGTGTCATGAGGTAACTGTGGCAGGATAGTGGTCTGTATCATACAAGTCAGCATTGCAATTATACACATGAATGAGATGTATTTGAGTTGAATCCGGATCTTGCTAACCTTGCAACAATATGTGCAGAAACCAAATGGATTGCTTGAAGCATTGGAGAAGGCAGTTGATAAAAGGAAGGTACTTGTTTTTATTAACTTTTGATATTATATAGTATAGCTGGTTTATTTGTTACCACAAAAAATGTCCATAATTTGTGGGTCCATCAGTCTCTTGCCCTTCTTCCTAGAACAGACCAGTCCTTCCCTTAAGCATCAAGGATCAACCACCACGTACATCAGCTATATCTTAACCTACTTGATTAGTTTGTTTCCTAGTTTCTCTATACTATTTAATAGCCTTTTTCAGTTTAAGTTTCTTAGACTAGATTGTTCTATTGGTGAATATGCTAGAACATCCATGTCTTTCAGTAAATATTATGGCGCTGGATGTGTGTAGGTCACACCTTTGACATTCACATAACCATTCAGCCACCACTTTTCCCTATTTGTACATGTGTGTTTGGGCCATCAAATATGGAGTAGGGCTATTAGTACTCTCTTCTCAGGAGATAGCCATCATATTAGAATCAGTTTCAACCTGTGCTTAGGGTATTGTTTTGATAGTGTATTAGTCATTATCTTTCTTCACGTGATCATTCATATATGGAGAAAGCTATTTATCCTATAGAAAAATTTTGAGATTGGGAAATTGACAAAAGTTTATTGAAGATTGGGGTACTATTTGGATAATGTAGGTGATGTTGTCTAAGAATTCATGTGATCAATCATGTATGGAGAAAGCTATTTGTCTTGAAGAAGAATCTAGAGATTGGGAAATTGACAGAAGTTTAGTGAAGATAGGGGAAAAGATAGCATCTGGATCTGGTGTTGATTTGTGAGTGACAGATATTGTCCTGGTTGCTTTTTAACTCATCTTTTCCCTACGTCATACCTATCTATGGCATTATCTTTCTCTTGTCTTTTTTGTTTGCTACGGAAAGGTATCGTGGCATATATCATGGTCTTGATGTTGCAGTGAAGGTTTTTAGATCTGATGACTTAGATCAGAAGTTGAAGGATGAGTTTGCCCAAGAAGTTTATATTTTAAGGTAAAATCAATTATAAGCTAGAATACATGCCCCTCTGCGGCTAGTTAATTTGTCTGCCACCCACATTCTAATGTATGCAGACATGTACAACATAAAAACGTTGTCCGTTTCATTGGTGCCTGCTCCAAGTTGCCTCACTTGTGGATTGTCACAGGTATGGAATGACAAATTCTCAGCCACGTATTCTTATTGAAACATTTACCTATGTTTGCAGCCACTAGGCATAACTGTATATGGGTTTTTTTGGTAATTATGTTGGCTGGAATACAAATTATTTCCTTGAAACCTTATTTCTTTTGGTCGCCAACTTGGCAATGCCTTGACCTTCCTAATCATCTCAAAATATTCATATAGTTTGCTCACATATATATATGCTGCTGGTTTCAAATTCTATATACAAATTTGTTCTGCAAAGTTGTCATGATAAATTTTATGTTCAGCTATACTGAAAGCATTAGCTAGTGAATTGACTGGTTTTGTGTGTAGAGTATATGTCGGTTGGAAGCTTGTTTGACTACTTGCGCAAGGGACTTACTGTTTTGAAGCTCCCACAACTATTGAGGTTTGCAATTGATATCTCGGAAGGAATGGAGTACCTGCATCAGAATAACATAATCCATAGAGATTTGAAGACAGCGAATTTGCTTATAGATGCACAAAATGTATGTTTTTCTATCTTAACTCACATTCTGACCTATTAGCGAGAATACACATATTCCCCCACCATCCGCAAATGATAGTCATGTTTTAAAATACGATGTTGTCTGAAAAAAGAGCTGCATTTCATCAAACAGAGCTAATTTCCATTCCTGAACAAAATTAAATATGATAAAAAACTTAGGACTATAAGTATGGTTGATGACTTGTATGTTTTATGTGGAAATTAAAAGGTCGTACCTTGGTAAAACTTGACTTATTTTGAGCATGGGAGTAGAGTCACATTCAACACAGCCTCTTATATTTAATTGTTGTTGTTGTTGTTGTTTTGTTTCCTTTTGATCAATTTGATGGGGTCATCACTTTAATATATTATAGTTTTATGTACTAAGTAGAATTTGAATTTTGAACCCAATACCTCTCTTTGTTTTAGTGACAGTATGTTTGCTTCAAGGAATTTGAGAGGGAAAAGAAAATAAAACTAGATGGAAAATGCTTTTTCATGTTTGGTTAGAGAGGAAAAAGAAAATAAAAGTGGAAGGAAAAGAAAATGAAAATAAAAAATAGGCCAAGAATAAGGAAAACTGGATACCTTCCATTTTGAAGGGCAAAATGAGAGAAACCTTTTTCTTTCCTTCCAAACTTCCTTGAACCAAACATAGGATAAAGTGCATGCTTGTGAGAAGAAGAGTATGTCTGTCTCTACAAAAAAGATTCTTGAAATGCTTCAGGGCCATCGCCACCAATGTCTAAGAATGCAGTGGTAATTGTATAACAATGAATGATGAGGAAACTGTGTTCATTTATTGTCTCAATTTTGCCTCCTAGGCTCCATACAATGTAGCGTGTTTGTCTTTCTCCTCTCGGTAGTGAGTAAATTGATTATGGCATAAGTGACCGTGTGATTGACTTCATATGTGTAAGTATACTAATAATACTATTTTCAAATTCCCTCTCCACAGTCAGCACTGTTTCCCTGGTTTGGTTTTCTATACATGTTAGATGTTGTAGTCGCATCAGCTCATATTTTTTGTACTTTGGCACCTTTTGAAGTACTCTGTATATTCTGAGAAACTACTGGTTCTATGCCCCACATATGTGCACAATATATATATTTTTTCTATTAGAACAAGTATGTTGACTGCATACATTGCAAATAGAGCTAAAAGAATCATTTTTGTGTTTATTTTGAGTAAAGCATAGACTGAACTTCTATTTTAGTTCCTTTGGCAATGGGCACAAGGGGAGTCTTATGTAATGCTCTACTAAAAAATAAACGCAGAAAAGTTCTACAATATTTAGCTTGTAATGGTCGAGCAATATATGAGGGGTGTTAATCAGATGGTCATGGTGTCACAGGCTGGTGCAACTTGTCATACCCTTTAGTTGCCACTGTAAACACTAAACAATAACAAAATATTTGCACCTGATGGATACTTAGGAGTCGGGACTATTCAATGTTCTTTCTTAATGACCAGTTTAAGACTTGAGAAGACAAATAAGCATAGACGTAGGTTTTGATGCTTGGACATTGACCTTGGACCTTTTCATGATTTTGTGTGACTTAACATCCTTTTGAAACACGTGAAACTTACATTTCGTTATATGTACCGATTTTTGTATTTACTAGCTTTCATAATCTGTTACAAGGTTGTGAAAGTGGCAGATTTTGGTATTGCCCGGTTTCTAAACAAGGGGGGTGTTATGACGGCTGAGACTGGAACATATCGATGGATGGCACCCGAGGTTTGCACTGAATTGATCCTTCATTTGTGTAGTTGTATATATGCATTTGCTTAAGAATACACATTATTGTATTCTTTTCATTTGGATTTCATTCCTTCTAAGTGATTACGCAGTTAGCTTATAATTGTCCTTGATATAGTTACTTTGCTGTTATGATTTTTTTGAACCGAAAGTTACTTCATTAATACCACTAAGTCAGGGTACATGATCATCACAAGCAATACATCTTCCTCAAATGTCCAACGAAGCAGAAACTGCACACCTATTTCTCTAAGAAAGCCATTCATTTATATGTCACAAAAATTTGATTTGATTTTTAATGTCTTCAAGAGTAGCCTCTTCGGAGAATCCCTTCAAATGTACCTTTTCATTTCGGATTTTCCATATGGAGTACCAACTAGCTGCCCATCCTGCAAAAGCCAGCCACCTTCTCTTCTTAGGAGTAATCTTCATGAGTTCTCATCCCACCTCTGGGAGATCTGCTGCTTTAACATTGCAGTAGAGCCTATTGAAAATCTGGGTGTGAATATTGTGAGCAAGTGGGAGTTTTCAGAGTAAATGGTTTATATCTTCATCTTCCTTGTCACAAAACACAAATCACACATTTGGGGTCAATATTCATTAGCTTCCTTAGACTACATGTAGTCAGTAACCTCTATCTTAATATCAGCCACAATATGAACTGATGCTTGGGGATAGTTAGCTAGTTCGACCACACCCATTCTGCTGTTTTTGCGGACTATCCTTTGCTGTTATGATCCTTCTACTGAGATAGCAATGTTTTCTGAAATTGCCGGATATTGATGGAACAGTAGTGCATGAAACCCCTTTTAACTTTTTCCGTTGATACCATTGAACTGAATTCCCAATAAGAAATTAATTCATATGACGAAAGGAGATTACTTAATCATTCAGGTGAAGAATAACAACTCTATTAAAAGAGATGCTTTTCTTTTCAGTGACTCATTATAATTACTACTTGACCTCCCACTATCTGAGAAAACTGAATCTGTACGATATGATAGTAGCTCCTATGTTCTGCTCTTTTAATTTGGTTCAACTTTTTATTTGAATGTCTCCATTCTTGTATAGATTATGAATCACCAGCCATATGATCAGAGAGCGGATGTATTCAGCTTTGGAATTGTTCTTTGGGAGCTTCTAACGTCCAAGGTGTTTGCCATGCTCCCTTTGGTTATAAGCTGTTGTGGCTTGCCCTTCTGTAGAAGGGGCAGAAGGAAAAAGCAAAAGGTAAAGTTTGTCTCATTATCTTTGGCTCGTTGCTGAGTTGCAGGTACCATATGACAACATGACTCCGATACAAGCTGCTGTGGGTGTGAATCAGGTTAGCAACTCAAAAAGCAAATCTGGACTTTGAATTCCCCGATATATGTTTTCTTGCTTTTTCGATCACCTAAAATGCCAAGGAAAATGCCAATGATAATCTAATTTGCATTTCATATATTCATATTTCTTAACTATGTTTGCTTCAAGGAATTTGGAAGGAAGAGAAGAAAATTATTCTCATTTTTCTCACCAAAATGGAAGAATTTTAGTTTTTCCTCTTGGTATATTTTGCCTTCTCATTTTCTTTTCCTTCCACTTTTCCGTTCTGTTCTTTTCCTCTCTTACCAAACAAGAAAAATTGTTTCCCTAAAAACCAACTCTTTCCCACAGAAGAAGTGATGAACTAGCTCACTTATGAGATGTAACTGCTATACATTGGCATCATAGAACCAACACATCTTCTGTATCATATTAAATACCAGGGTCTTCGGCCACAACTCCCGGAGGACACACACCCAAAGCTGCTGGATGTGATGCAGAGATGCTGGCAAGCAGCTCCCGACAACCGTCCCTCGTTCTCTGAGATAAAAGCAGAGCTTGAGGAACTCTTACACGAAGTGGAACAAACAGAGGTCAGCGGCGCTTGTGTCATATATGCATTACTCTTATCTTCTGTCGACGAAATCAAAGTCATCTATTCGTCGTTCCCTTATGATTTGTTCATGTTTCATGTCACAGGATGGCGCGGAAGTACCAAAGGAAAGCTAAATGCGCCCAACCAAAGAGGGTTCTACTGACATTGTGCAGTTTGACAGTGCGTTAACACATGAGAGGTTTTGTATATTTCGAATGGATTGACAATCTGTCTTCATTTCTTATTTTTGTTTCCTCTTCCTAAACTTGCAAAAAAACGCCACGGTGGATAATGTAAATTCTAACGTCACGAGCTAGAGAAGAGTTAATGAAGGCACCCCCAAATGAGATGGGGGTGTCAATGTCAGACCATTCATTGTATGGTGAACCAATTGTGCAGGCCGACGGTTATCTTCTTTAGCTACTACATATGAGAGGGTGAAACCATTAATGGCTTCACTGCCACTTCGCTTTCATTCCTCAATTTGTTTCAACCTCTACTTTGAGGAGTTAAAGCTATGAGTAGAGACCATTTTGGTGCCAAGTGCTTATGCACCCGCCTATAGTTACCAAACACGCCTTTATAGAATAGAACCTAGGAAAATAATGTCACTTATAGTCCTAGGATTAGTTAGTTACCTAATCCTAATAGTTACCAAAAGTTTTTCTATGTTTTCTTTTGCACAAAAAAAGAAAATTATTTATTAGGATTGTAAGCATTTACTTATTAGCCTTTATCTATAGGTCTGCGCAATTTTGTGTAATCTAAGTGTATCATAGTATTTACTTTAAATATTTTGTAAAAAGTATTTTATGGAGTCTACTAAATATTTTGTGTAAGAGAGAGCATACTAATCACAATTATTTTTATAGTTTAAGCCTTTTTTTCTTTCATCTCAACGATTGGGGTACCTATGGTGGTCCGTTTGAAGAAGTGATATTTTATACCCCCAACCTCCCGGTAAACTCCCTCACCCCGATTTGACCAAGACCTACCCTCCACCCCCTCCCCCCAATTGCACACCACAAAATTTAGTTGACTTTGGAGTTAGGAATTTGGAATCATCAATTTTTCGAATAGAACATCATAGGTACTTCAATCAAGACTCGTGTCATTGAATGACACGGGAGACTAATATCAGCCAACCTCCTTAAAATATGTTCAAATATTTGTATTTGGTACGGGGTATTTTTGCATATTAAAATGAATGTAATATGATTGTTTCATCATGAATCTTTTAAAATGAAAATACACCCTTTATTCATAAATTTATTTTTTCATTTGACTTTTTATGGTCTCTAATTTGACACGTTGACTATTAATATTTCTGTTTATGTATACGTATATATTATAAAAAAATTGATATTACAAAAAAATTATTTAAAAATAAATCTATTGATATTAAACTTACATAGTAATTTAATGTATACTTTCTGCAATTTGTGATCAAAGTTTCAAAAGTTTGACAAAAAAACTCCAGTATATCAAATTTACACATTGATAAAACCCTATCTTTTGTTCTCTTCACATATTTTGTTGATAATTTGACGAATAATATAGTCATTTTATAACTTGTTTTGCAAAACTTATTTAATTTCTAGATATATACTATCTCTGTTCGAGATTACGGACATAGATACATGTTTAGATATATACTATCTCTATTCGAAATTACTTATAGAGATACATGTCCGTAATTTTTAGACATATACTATCTCTGTCGGTAATTTATAAATTCTTTTCATGTTTGACTTTTTACAATTTCCAACCCAATACTTTGATTATCAATATACTACCTTCGTTTTGAATTAATTATCCTTGTTTGACTTCACAAATTTTTTTTTAAAAAAATTGAAAAGTAAAAAGTGAGTATTTGAAATTTCATAAAATGAAAGGTAAAGTATATTATAAAAGTACTACCTCTATCCCACTCTCTTTGTCCATTTTTGACTTTTGAAACTGTTCATCTAAGCACTTTGACCCATCAAATTCTCTCAATTGTAAGCCTAAATATAGTCATGTGTGATCTTGTTTGATTTGTCTTAACATATACATTATTAATATATAATTTCTATAATTTTTTAATATACAAATAACAAAATAAAATGAATTAAAGAAGTGCATTGGATGGTGTGCCAAAAGGTAAGAGGACAAAGAGAGTGGGACGGAGGGAGTATAATATTTCAAAATCATAAATGTATGAAAGTAGTCTCGTAGAGTATATTATAAAGGTATAATATTTCAAAATCATGTTTCAAAATGAATATATTAGATTTGAATAAGTCTAGGGGTACACCAACATGGGGTACCTCATTTGTACGCCAGGCTAACAAAGATGTACACAGACACAAAATATCTGTGTTACATAGACATTTTGTGTCTGTGTGTATATATGTGTTGGCTTGGGGTACAAATGAGGTACCTCATATTGGTGTATCCTTACCATTGGCTATTAGATTTGCATGCAATTCACATCAATGAATAGTCATTACAAGTTTACTACCTAAGAAAAAAAAGAATTCTCATCTTCCCCCTTTCATCAATGACATGGAGATCAAATCCATGCTCTGCAAACCAGAGTATTCACCACTAGTAATGGATGAATCTCCACCATTATTACCAACTGGAGAAGACATAATCTTTGTTTCCTTCAAAAGATATTGTGTCTCCTCATAAGGCATTTCATCTTTTCCTCCCAATCCCCATGGGTGGTCATCCCTCTCAAGATGACTTCTCACTCCCTCCAACTCCGCAGCCACTTCTCTCATCTTCGGTCTTTCGTCCCTCCTCACATTCAAACACCGCCTCGCAATCTCCGCAACTTCCAATAGACGCTCGAACACAACTCCCTTAACTATGTGAGTGTCCAAAACTTGAGCCAACCTCCCAGAGTTCAAAGCAGAAACAAAATAAGCCGAAATGTTTCTGTCAGTCTTCCGGCCTCGCAAAGGAAACCGCCTTTTGGCCCGTCAATAGCTCTGCGAGAACGACACCGAAACTGTACACGTCACTCTTCTCAGTCAGTTGCCCGGTGTGAAAGTATTCCGGGTCAAGATACCCAAACGTTCCTTGGACCAGAGTAGTAACCTGAGAGCAAATCATCCAAAATAAGAATAAAACAACATAAGCTCTATCTCCAAAATAAGAGTAACACTTTTATACTCAATTGAATTATTCCATTGTGAAAATCTTATATAGTACTATTGTTCCTGAGTAGTTGTCTTTTTTTTTTTTACTTTTTTCAGTCAAAATTGACATACTTTAGCCACTAGTTAAATAAAATTGATACGGAGTATTAGATATTGATAGATCAATAATTTTATAAGATTTATTTATTTATACAATATTTTCAATATATTATTTTATTTAATCAATATTCTCTCGGTCTTCCTACCACGTTTTTCTATTCTTATGTTGGCATTTTTCTCTTGAGTTTGTTCTAAAGGGACGAGCCTCGAGGCTCCGAAGTCGGAGACTTTAGCGGTCAGCCTGTCGTCTAACAATATATTCGCCGTCTTGACGTCTCTGTGGATGATCGGCGGGGAAGCGGCGGAGTGCAAGTACGAAAGTGCCCCTGCGGACTCCGCCGCCACTCTCAAGCGCGTGTGGAACGGCATCTTAGGGGAGCGGCCGTCGAGGTGGAGGTGGTCGGAGAGCGTGCCGTTAGTGATGAACTCGTAGACGAGCAAAGGGACCTGCGTCTCCAAGCAACAACCCAAGAGCTTGACGACGTTCCGGTGGTTGATTTGGGAGAGGACGACAACCTCGTTGATGAACTGCGCCACCTGGCTCTGGTCACAAATCTTGGACTTCTTTATGGCCACCGCCGCTTCCCCGCCTCCGTGTCCCACCGTTCCTTTGTAAACAGTCCCAAAACCCCCCTGCCCTAAGATGGCCTTTTCGTCGAAGTTGTTGGTGGCCTTTTTAAGGTCTTCCAGTGTGTAGATTCTCATTCTTCCGCCGCTTCCGCCGCCGCCGCCGAGCTGCTGCGTCAACAATAGGCCGCCGTTTTGTTGGAAGAATTGCTCTTTGAGTTTGATTAACCTTCTCTTCCTCGATCCCCAATATACGTAGAAGCTTAGTACAAGCAATGCTATGACGCTCAAACTCACACCTGCGCTAAGACCGCAAAAATCAATTCACCAAGCTACACGAGAAAATGACTTAAGTTTTAGTGTTATTTAGTGCAAATATTTCAAATTAATTTGGGAAAGAAATGAGTATTTTTGGGAGAGAGAAATAATAAAACTTTGTTTAAATTTTTGATAACTTACTCAAACAAATGACTAGCAAGGTATTATTGCCGCCAGATTTTGGGACGCACCCTTTTCCATCCTTTCTCCCGTCTCCTTCAAAACCTTTGTTGCATGTGCATGTGTAGTTTCCGGGGATGTCGTTGCAGGTCGCGTTTCCATGGCAAGAGTTGGTTCCTTCTTTGCATTCATCTATATCTGCATGCATGCCGCCACAAATTCAACAACAACATACTCGGGATATTCAAACCATAAAAGTTTGTACTATGACAAAGTGTGGGTGTATTTGACATTCCACCATATCTTTGGTTTTATGCCGGGAGTATGTTGACATTATTGTCATTGTAATTCAATTTCTATTTTGAAAATGAAAAATATAAAACTTCATTCTAGTACTTTCAGTATGCTTTTACTCTTAATTTAGTTTTCTGAGATGACAGAGTATATAAGTTCCTATCTTAAATAGGGGTGAGTAAGGGTGTAGTAAATAAAAAAATGAAAGTAATAGTGATACTCCCTATTTCAAATGTTAAAAAGGTAATCAGATGATATATCTTTTCCTAGACAAAAATGACATTTGGAATGATTTTTCCGATATAGAGTGAGACTTTTTCTAATAAAATTATTTGCCTATCACATTTTCCAATGTTTGGTAGCAAGATATTTTTTTAAAAAAAACACCATTTCCATTTTCTTATATTTAAAAATTGATTTTTAAAAAATGAGTTGAGACAACTTATAAAAATTTTAGAAATATGAGGGAGGGGGTGCACGGGCAGGTGACATATGGCAGGTAGGCTGGGTGGACGGGGGATGGGAAGAGGGATGTGGTGGGGGTGAGTAGGGGCAATGGGGTAGGGTCAGCCTCAAAAAATGAAATTGGCCCAGTCCAAAATTTATATTTTGAACCGTATTTTATTATTTTAGAATACTTATACTTTAAAATTAATGATAAATTTAAAAATATAAAGCTCTAAAATTTTAAGTACCTTTATGGGGGCAGATGTGGGCATCGGGGGTGGCAAAGTGGGAGGAGGTGGGCGGGGAAGGGGCACACATGATGGGTGGGCACTGGGCAGGGGTGGAACAAGGGTAAACGTGGTGTGCCAACTGCCGGAGGCAAAGGGCAGGCCGGCAGGGGCATGAAGGGTGGCAGAGGTGTGAATGGAAAGTTGTAAAAATTAACAAGAGGAAAAATATTTCTGTATATTGAATTGGCTTGTGCTTACAAAGGTCTAACCCTCTTTATATAGGAAGAGAGTAAAACATATAAGTAAACTTTTATTACTACCATATTTCTATTCCCACTATAACAAGAACTAAGCAAACTAGTAAAGATACTAAACTGAATCCCAAAGGGATTCAATTTCCTTCTTTGATCCGGCTTTCTTCTTCTGTCGCCAACACCCCCCCTCAAGCTGGAGCATGTGAGTTCAACATGCCCAGCTTGGACATCAAAAGATCGAACAAAGCTCGAGGAAGCCGCTGCCATCATTGTCCAAGTGACCAAGTGTCATGCAGACACTTCAGTTTTTTTTCAACGGAGACGCCAAGCTTTTCGAATCCGCCGAATAATCAGTCGAGTAAAGGAACGCCATTCTTTTCGAACCTTCACCGTTTACGAACAAACAGGGGGAACATCATTCTTTTCGAACACCCTGAACGCCGATTTTTTTTACCTCCCGCAAAGGAAAGAGTTGCCCATCTCTGTAGAACAACCCTTGTTGGACAACTTTTTTAAGATTGATGGTTGGGTGGGATTCCTTGACAACAATGTTCTTCGTTGAATGTGTTCATGATATTCTTTAGTGAGGGAGAACAATTAAAGAAAATAAAAAAATTATAATATCCCGCCGGTAGGCATTATTGTGTATGCCTACCGGCAGGGGACAGAGCGTGTTTGAGGTCTTAAAAATCCAAAACCTACTCCGATACCAAGTAGAAATTAATAAGAGAGAATATAGTGTGTATATTGAGTTGGCGTGTGCTTACAAAGGTCTAACCCTCTTTATATAGGAAGAGAGTAAATCATATAAGTAAACTTTTATTCCTACCATATTTCTATTCCCACTATAACAAGAACTAAGCAAACTAGTAAAGATACTAAACTGAATCCCAAAGGGATTCAATTTCCTTCTTTGATCCGGCTTCCTTCTTCTGTCGCCAACAAAAGTGAATATAAATTTTCTTTGGAGAGCAAACAAAAAATATTGTTCCTTCATGATGAAGAATATGTTACTATGAGAAAAGTATTTTTCTCTCTATTTATGCTATCAAACATAGAAAATAAAATTGAAAATTTTCTCGGAAAAATATTTTTCTCCAACCAAAAACTACTCTAACAACAATTAAAAAATTTAGAGTTTTTTCTGTTCGTCTGATTTAGATGAATTTGATTTTATTTTTTAAAAAACTCTAAATAGTACTAAAACGTATAAAATACTAAAATATGAATTTTTTATATTTTTATTTTCTAAATAGGAATTCACATGGTAGTAATGTGGCACTGTATAGGTGCATTTTGCGTAATGTAAATGGTCATGATTGGTAATGTAAATGCATCTTAACTCCTATTTCGAAAATAAAAAAAATAGAAATGTTATTTCGATATATTTCCAATGTTTTACTCTTTATTTAATCTTTTTTTAAAGATCTGATCAAATCTTAACTAATCTTATCTAATTATAATTATATTTAATCTTATGTGATTATAATTATATCTAAAATGAAGATAATATATGTTGAAGAGAGAAGAATTTCTTAGTGGAAGCAATTAAATACAGTAATGGATTAATTGAATGAAATTCTTACTTTGACAACCAAGGTATGGATTTCCTCCGTAACCATCTTTGCATCTACAGTGATACCCTTGTTTGGTCTTGGCCTCGACACACTCCGTGTTACTGACGCCGGTGCAGATATTCCGACGATCTCCGCCGCCGCCGCACGTCTGATTCTCATCCCCAACCGCCCAGTCGACCACCAAGAGCGACGAGCTAAAGGGCAGGGCAGACAGATCGGCAACGCTGGATCTGAACCACCCATTTTTGGCCACGAAGGAGTAGCTGCAGTTCCCCCACACCTTCGAATCGAACCCGAAACTGTAGGCGTCGGCTTGGATCTTCCTCATCCCCGCCGGAACGGTGAGATTGCAGCACCCGATCCCGGAGCAGACGTCCATGTCGTCCGGCTCTCCGTACCCGCATTGCGAAATGCACCCGACTGAGTAGCTGGATCCGGCCATCAGAGGGTCGTCGCGGGATCTGCTGCTGTGCAGGTAGCCGTACGTGTTGCAGCCGAGGGTGAAGAACTTGTTCTCGTCGCCGGAGACGCTGAAACTCGTCGGCCCCACTCCCAGCCGCGGCTGCGTGTCGGCCACCGTCCCGCCGGTCTGGTTGAAGCAGAGGCGGGAGATCGGCATCAGGATCTCCATCGTCCCCTTCCCAGGGTCAATTCGGGAAATTTGGGATTGAGCGGTCGGGAGTTCCTCGTTGTTGAACTGGGTGGTCCAGAGCTTCGAATCTCCGTCGCAGGTGAGATTGAATCCGGCGTCCAGGAAACACTTGTCGTCGCCGACGCCGAACGGGTAGGGAATCTCGACGTCTCCGCACTTGTCGGGGCAGCCGGGCAAAGCTATTTGAGTTGTCGGGGTCGCTGCAAATCCAAAACTCAACAGAGCCGCCATTAATGCAAGCTTCATATGCATCTTCTTCGTCTTCCGATGAGCCAGTGTTTAATTTATTTAGTAAATAGCAGAGTTTGATGAAATAGGTGTATATTTTAAGGTAGCTTAGGGTAATGATCATGGGAAGAATCGAAGGAAAATTGAGGAGTGGACTTGGTAAGCTATGGCGTTCCTTCTGCACAGTTTCCCTTGAAACAGACAACTAAACCATTAAATTTCCTTTTAATTATCTCTGCACAATTTGTCAAGGTGAGACATTTGAATGATTACCAATAAAGATTACAGTATCATTTATTCTGTCACAATCCTATCGAACTAGAGTATATGGACGTTCCATCTTCAAAATGCATCTAAAACCCACTTGGTCAGACGGACGTTTATTTAAGTCAAACATTACAACGCACAACGATAACTTCATTTACGTGGGGAGTAAACAAAGTCTCCGGAAAATTGTGCTTTAACATTACATTAGCCAGTCCACAGTCCACATCAATGAAATCATTAATTAATACAACAACAAAATAAATATAAAAAGCCATATCATCATCTTCCACCTCGCAACGACATGAGAATGGAATTCGTGTCCATGTTCCCACTAGATTCACCACTAACAATGGACATGGACATGGATGAATCTCCACCGTCAACAACCTGGGAAGACATGATCACTGATTTCTCCCCCGGCATCTCATCAGAACACATTTCATCTTCTTCTCCAGATCCTCCCCATGGCTGCTGGTCGTCGTCCTTCTCATCAACTCGATCCCTCAACCGCTCCAACTCCATAGCCACTTCTTTCATGGTCGGCCTGTCGTCCCTCTTCGCATTCATACACCGCCTCGCAATCTCTGCAACTTCCAGTAAATGCTCAAACATTACTGCCCCATTATTGACAATGTGACTGTCCAAAACTTGACCCAGTCTCCCATCGTTCAAAGCAGAGACGAAATAGGCACACAAGTTCCTGTCCTCTTCCGCCCTCGAAAAAGAAACCGCCTTCTCGCCCATCAGCAGCTCCGCGAGAACCACCCCGAAGCTGTACACGTCGCTCTTCTCGGTCAGCTCCCCGGTGTAAAAGTATTCCGGGTCCAGATACCCGAACGTCCCCTGGACCAGAGTCGTTACCCGGGTCTGATCCAGAGGGACGAGCCGCGAGGCCCCAAAGTCGGAGACTTTCGCGGTCAACCTTTCGTCCAGGAGTATGTTCGACGTCTTGATGTCTCTGTGGATGATCGGCAAGGACGCGGCGAAGTGTAAGTACGAAAGCGCCCCTGCGGACTCTGAGGCCACTCTCAAGCGCGCCGCGAACGGCATCTTCGGAGACCCGTCGTCGCGGTGGAGGTGGTCGGAGAGCGTGCCGTTGGTGATGAACTCGTAAACGAGCATGGGGACCTGTGTCAGAGTATCATCGCACATCAGAAGTTCAAATAGAAAATAATCGGTGTATAATTTAAGCTCTTGAATTGAACTAACTAATCGATTGGAATCAATCTTTTAATGTACGTGATTCAACCTAAGTGTCTTATTACCTAATCCAGTTATTCACTACACTATCTTAAATTCTATCAACCTGCGTCTCCAAGCAACAGCCAAAGAGCTTGACGACGTTCCTGTGGTTGATTTGGGAGAGGACGACAACCTCGTGGATGAACTGCTGCACTTGGCTCTGGTCACAAATCTTGGACTTCTTGATAGCCACAACTGACGAGTCTTCCAACACTCCTTTGTAAACTGTCCCATAACCCCCTTGGCCTAAGATGAGCTTTTGGTCAAAGTTGTTGGTGGCCTTTTTAAGGTCTTTCAATGTGTAGATCTTCATTCTGCCCCCATTTCCGCCCTCCAGTTGTTGCTGTAGCAATATACCGCCGTTTTGTTCGAAGAATTGTTCTTTGAGCTTGATTAACATCCTTTTCCTCGATCTCCGGTATATGTACAAGCTAAACAGGAGCAATGTTGTCACACTCAAACTCGCACCTGTTCATATCATTCAAGTGTTTATGAAAATTAAAAATTATTTATCGAATAATAAGATGAAATGAAAATAAAAAACTGGTTTTGATCACTTACTCAATAAAACGACCAGCAAAGTAGTACTGCCACCAGATTTTTGGACACACCCATTTCCATCTTTCTTCCCGTCTCCTTCAAATCCTTTCTTACACGTGCAGGTGTAGCTTCCCGGAAGGTCCTTGCATGTCGCGTTTCCATGGCAAGGGCTATTATTACCTCCTTCTTTGCATTCATTTTTATCTGTCACAAATTGAACAAAAGTATAACAACAAGGAGACAAGATTTTATTTTACATATTATTCTTACATTTTTGTGAAAAAGTAGATAGAAAAAAACTCTTGATTTGAATGAATGAATGAATGAGATTCTTACGCACTTTGGCAACCAAGGTATGGATTTCCTACATAGCCATCTTTGCATTTACAGCGGTACCCATATTTGGTGCTTGTGTTGTCGCACTCTGCATTATTGACGCCGCTGCATATATTAATATTGTGAGGGTGAGGATCATCGTCACCACCACACTGATTCTTGTTCCCAACCTCCCAGTCTATGACCAAAAGTGAGGAATTAAAAGGCGGGCTAGTAAGATCAGAAAACGAATGGTTTGTCAGCCACCCAATTTTGGACACAAAAGAGTAGCTGCAGTTGCTGTAGTTCCACACTCGTTTCATGTCTTCTTTGTAGGGGATAATGAAGGCTTCGGTCTTGATTTCCCTCATGCCCCCGGGAACGGTGAGATCGCAGCACCCGATTCCCAAACATTCCTTGATCTCACTCTCTTCGGGTTTTTCATACACGCATCTGGAAATGCACCCCGTCCCGTACCTATTATTGAATAATAGAAATAAGAAATATTAGTACTAAAACTTAAGTCATTTCTCTAAATGAGACTAAAATTGTTTTATTCTCTAAATAACATTTAATAATGTCCATAATGACAAGTGATGGCAAACATTTACTTAAACAATGACTAGTGGATAATGACTAAAAGTGCTACATTGAAGGAAAAAAACATGTGTAGTGCTATTTAGAGAAAATCATTATGTTTTAGTGCTATTTACGTAAATTTTCTCACAGAATAATTGCATTACATACTCTAGGAGTAATGAAATACTCCCTCCGTCCCGTTATATTCGTCCAGTTTTGACTTTTGGAACTGTTCATCTAAGCACTTTGACTTATCAAATTCTCTCAATGTGTAAGTCTAAATATAGTCATGCGTGATCTTGTTTGATTTGTCTTAACATATAGATTAGTACTACCTCCGTCCCACTCTTTTTGTCCAGTTTTGACTTTTGGAACTGTTCATCTAAGCACTTTGACTCATCAAATTCTCTCAATGTGTAAGTCTAAAAATAGTCATGTGTGATCTTGTTTGATTTGTCTTAACATATAGATTATTAATATATAATTTTTTAATATACAAATTACAAGATAAAATGGATTAAAGAAGTGCATTGAATGGTGTGCAAAAATGAAAGTGGACAAAAAGAGTGGGACGGAGGGAGTAATATATAATTTTTATAATTTTTTAATATACAAATTACAAGATAAAATGGATTAAAGAAGTGTATTGGATGGTGTGTAAAAATGAAAGTGGACAAATACTCTGGATTAATAATGGAAAGTGACTAAAGTACAAACATTACCCACTTGTAATCGTAACTTGGGATGTTGGAGTCCTTGGGGACTTTGTTGGCGAGCAGCAAGGCGTACGTGTTGCAGCCGACGGCGAAGAACTTGTTCGCCCTGCTGGAGACGGTGAAAGTCTGCGGCTCCACTCCCACCTTGTAGGTCTGGTTGTATGTTTCTTCGCCGTGTTTGTTGAAACAGCGGCGGGACAAGGGCATCAAGATCTCCATCGTCCCCATCGCGGGGTCGATTCGGGTGATTTGGGACTGATCGTCGTCCCCGGACTCTCCGTTCTTGAACTGGGTGGTCCAGAGCTTGGAATCTTTGTCGCAGGTGAGATTGAATCCGGGGTCCAGGAAGCATCTCTCGTCCCCCACGCCGAACGGGTAGTGTATCTCCACTTCTCCGCACTTGTCGCGGCAGCCTGGCTTGGCTACTGTCTGGCACTTGGTGGGCTTCGTTGCAAATCCGATGAGAATCAACAGAGCCGCCGCAGCCGCCGTTGCCGGCTTCATATGCCGCCGCAGCCGCATCGATCTTCCCCCAATTCAATCCCTCTTTCAAATAATTTAAGGTGCAGCGGGCTGTGGCCGGACGTTCATTAGGTAGCTATGGTGGCGTCATTGAGCTGCCGTGAAAGTGGAAACAGAAAGCTTTAATGTGCCAAAAAGGACGAGAGATGGAATCATTGTTCCAACCATGGGAGAACGCAACTGGCCCCGCCCTTCTTTTTTTCGTACGATCACATGCGTGAAAATAATTGATTAGATTTACTCACTACTCTCTCCCTCCCACCACTTTAAATTACAATATTTCCTTTTTGTTGAAATTAAGAAAGAGTTAAATCAAATTTTTTTCTCCAAATTACCCCCAAATCCCCAAATATCCTTCCCACTCAAATGGATGAATATTGTGTGAATAGTGTAGGAGTCGGAGGGTAAAAGAGTCAATTTTTTGTAAAGTTATTGACTTTGTAATTCTTTTTGGGACAAAAATGTAAGGGAATATTGCAATCTATTTCGGGACGGAGGGGATACCTTATATCGAGTATTTTCAAATTTGTATTCCCTCCGTCCACCTAAGATCTTCCCATTACGCGTTACGAGGCTTGACCGACTTTATTTTCAATTCAATTTATTTAAATATAGAGGCAAAATTTTAATATAAAATCTATGTAGTAATAAACTACATAAAAAGTTCTACAAAATTATAGATAACAACACTATGATTTTATGAAATGAGTAGTAAAAATAAACAAACAAAGTGAATTAAGTTTGACCATGTGAATAGTGTTTGAGAAGATATATGATGGATAGAGGTAGTATTTCATTATACTAATACTCCGTATACAATATAAGTTGTGAGTAATTGAACTTTCAAATTTGTCTAGTTTGATTTGAAAAAATCAATTTGTCAAACATACAAGACGGAAATAGCATGTCAGGTACATGTATTCTCATCTAATTCCGCATTGGTATGTGTTTGATCTGTATTTACACCATCTAGTTCCGCCTCTACAACCTCGCGTAACACGACGCCTGACTTCAAATTGTCAAGATGACTTTTAATGCAATCTAATGCATGCCCAGCACCCTTATATATTAGAGAATAATTATTAAGGGTTTAAAGAAGACATAATTATAAAAATAATGTTTGAAAAGGAGATATTATAAAACTCACATTAGATATATGATTTTAGATGAATTCATACTTGCAATTGATGAACGTGTGATTAATGTATTTTCAAATTTATTTTTAAAAGTTCAGAATACATTGGTACAATTTTTAAAGTTAAAGAGGAATTAATATCATTTTTAAAAAAGTTCAGAGATAAATAACAGAAAATTGTGCCTGGTTACCCTCCTATTTTGAGAAATTAACTGACGGGTACCTCATATTTTTAAAATATACTCCGAGATATCTTCTATTTTAAGAAATTAACTATTGTGTAACTCAAATTTTAAAAAATACCCAACTTACGTCCAAATGTATACTCCCTCCATCCTATAATGATCTTCCATGAGCACTATTTTAACTTCACGGGAATTTATATTTATTTGTGTTTTTTCATGGCCTATATGATAAAATAAAATATTATTGTCACCACTTGTTTTGTTGAACTTTTGATGTAGTTTTTAAATATGTATGTTTTATTTTTTTATTTCTATACCAATATTTAAATAAAATAGATTTAAAAAACTTGGGATTTTTCTTCGTTTTGCGAACCGGGAAGATCATTATAGGAGGGAGTATTAACTTACCCGTGAGGGAAATTTCATTTCATTCAAAAGTTTTGATTAAATTGGATACATCGTATCCTTAAAGTATGAGACCAGGGTTATTTTTGGAATTTGAAACCCCTATTTCTTAAAATTAACGGCGCAACTGACTTTGACGGAGAGTGAGCTGAATGTCATCACGGGTAAGTTAATGTATATTTGAAGGTATCCCAGAGTATATTTTAAAAATGTGAGGTACTCGTTAGATAGTTTTTTTAATCAAAATAAAGGGTATCTCTTAATATATTTTAAAAATGTAAGATATACGGTAATTAGTTTCTCAAAATAAAGGTACCTAGGAGCAATTTTCTGATGGGCAATGCTAGGAGTACACCAAAGGTGTTCCCCAAATATACACCAACCTTCTCATCCACCCCTTTTTATTTGATTTTTATTTTTTATTTATTTATTTTTTTTGATTTTCTTGCCCAATTATGTGGACAAGGAGGGGTAGAGACAAATGGGGTACATCAAAAGTGTACACCAAAAGTGTACCCCTAACATTTTTCTTTTCTGATAAATAACGGGAAAAATTGAAAGGGAAAAGAAAAAGAGAAAATTTCAGAGGAAGTATATCTCACGCGCCAGACTTCCCTTCCACACACACGCTCTTTCATTCATCTGTACATCTGGATGATTGAATGATTCCCCCCCGTTTCCAGCAAATAGTCGCCGGCGGCCGGCAGGCACCTCTCACAGATCCAATTCCAGAAACATTTCTATTTCAAAATTTCGATTTTTTCGGGAAACTTTACTATCCGGACAGTCTCCAGTTTCCAATTTCTTCCACATGTTACCCCGTAATTTTTGAAAAATTAAAATTCGTAAAGTGGCAATAATAATAGTAATAATAATATAAAAAATTATGTCAAGCGACAGTAATGATATAGACGAAGATGAGCTGTTGCAGATCGCATTGAGAGAGCAAGCACAGCGCGATCTCAGCTACCAGAGGCCCGGTGGTTCTAAGCAGCCGTCTAAGCCGGTGCGCAACTACGTCCAGCCACCTCCACAGCCGGCGGCGGCGGGAAGGACTCCTCCTCCTCCTCCTAACGCGACGATGCAGCACAAGCAGAGGAAGCCGGTGGAGGATGATGATGATTCCGAGGTGGAGATGCTCAGCATTTCCTCCGGAGACGAGGACTCCTCCAAGGACCGCGGTTACGGGGATGCGAAACGCGCGGCCAGCGGGGGAAGAGGTGGGAAGAATGAAGACAGGCCGTGGGATGGGGATGAGCCCGGTTGCTGGAAACATGTTGACGAAGCCGAGGTATGCAATCCTGTTTCCAGGGGTATATTTTTATTCTATTTTTAAAACTTGTTTCCAGAGGCAAATATCAATGAGTTTCCTTAAACGTCGTAGACATTTTGATCCGCACACCATTTCATTTCAAGCTGTAATTAGTTATTTCATGTGAGTTGTGAGTGCCTCTGCTTCTGAGCACATACATTTTGCTATGCTTTCTCTGATGTGAAACGATTGGTATGATTTACAATTGGTTGCTCACACGCTGTAATTAAACTTTTCTCAGTTTTATAACTGAGTGTGGGGGTGGTGGTTATTTGGACGACATGGTATGTTTTGGTTGGTTCGAAGCATTATTGAGAAACTTATGAAATTTGAACTGATGGCAGCTAAGGCGCAGGGTCCGTGAGATGAGGGAGACAAAAGCAGTTCCAATCACACAACCTAAGGTTATGCCGGATCCGACTGCAATGGCCAAGAAGGGACTTAACACCTTGCAGTCTTTTCCCCGTGGCATGGAATGTATAGATCCTCTTGGATTAGGGTATTCATAATTTTCTCTGTATGCCCCCCCATTGAGTGGATGCCCATACTGTTTTATATAGACATGTCATGTGAAATGGATATTCTAAAACTATGTGAACCTACAGGATTATTGACAATAAGACTTTGAGATTGATCACTGAGCATTCATCAAGCTCTCCCTCTGTTGGTGATAGAGATCAATCAAATCATGACATCCGCGGTATTTGTTCATTTTTATGTTTTTGCCACCTGATTATTTTAATTGTGTTGAACTGTTTGTGAGTTATTATTTCCTCATATTTATGAGCTTTCCTTCAAAGATTTGGTACACATTTACCAAATTCGTGAAGTCTAAATAATATGGAGGATACTTAGAAGTTGATTCTTAGTTACCAAAATCACCGATGTTCTATTCATTCAATTACATGGCTTCTTTTGATTGCCTGTTCATGCTGCAACCTAAGAAGCTGCATGAAGAAAATATGTTTGTGGTTGGTACTTTTTATGCTCTGAGGGAGCACATGTTTGTTCCTAGATTCTTTGATGTTTGGATTGTAAACTTCCTACTCTGACCACAGAGTGATGGATTTGTCGATATTAGGTTCTAAGCAGGAAAGCTGTGTGTTTCGTTGGTTTTATGAGATGTACCTCAAATGACGGATGGCTGAAGCTTAAATAAATCTTTTAATTGATTGGGAACTCGTTTAATACTCCGTAATAAGGAAGCATAAGTGAGATGTATATGACAAACTAGTCTTTTTCAGTTGAATAAATATTAAACCTTATTTCTGGTTTAATCTAAGGCTCAATTGATTTAGGAATGTACCACTTTGCAATCATTTGAATTTTAGCGGGTAGAAGTTTTATTTTCAATTTTTTAATACTGCATGAAGAGCGGTATAGCAAACAATCAAGTAATAACGAAGCATTAGCGAGATGTATTTGACAGCTTAGTCTTTTTCCGGTGAAGAAATATTAAACCTTGTTTCTGGTTCCACTTCACTATTAGTTCAATATTAGCTGGTACAAGTTCTATTTTTAATTTTTAATACGTGTGTAGAGCGGTTCAACGATAACAAACAATCAAGTACTCCGTAATAAGCAAGGATTAGTGAGATGTATATGTCAGCTATTCTTTTTCAGGTTAAGAAATATCAAACCTCGTTTCTGTTTAATCTTAGGCACAATTGATGTAGGAATGTACCACTCACTTTGAAATTCTTTGAATATTAGCTGGTACAATTTTATTTTTAGTTCTTTAATACGGTGTGTAGAGCAGTTCAAGGATAACAAGCAAGCAAGTAACATTTTTGGATCAGACTTTGCATGCTTGTATATTTTTGATATATATCTCACAATCTTTGTGTTTGACAAGTAACTCCATGAACCTGGCAGAGCGGTTGAATTTTTTCTCTGAGAAGTTCGATCCAAAGCTGTTTTTATCCCGAATTCACCAAAACACTAGTGCAGCAGATCTGGAATCTGGTGCTATTTCTTTGAAATCTGACCTTCAAGGCCGCACTCAACAGAAAAAGCAATTAGTCAAAGAAAATTTTGATTGCTTTATTTCTTGCAAAACAACAATTGACGGTAAGCTCTAATGCAGTTCTGGTTTTATATCAAAATTAAAGGAAGACTTTAATGGCAAGGAGATGTCTTTAATGGTTGCAGACATTGAATC